TTGCATTGGGGGAACTGGCACACTAAACAATTTCTTATTCAATGCAATTTTTTATTGTTATAATCACTGATTTGGGAATTCGGCATACCTTTTTTTTATTTACTGTTACCTATTCGTGTTTCTATATAACGACATTTTACCCAATGATAGTATTCGCCATTCGGAATACCTACTTACATTCTAATGTGCATGGACGCTCATGGCTCATCAGTGGGTACATTACAGATAACAATTTTTTTCTTCATAACCGTTTGGTCATTAAGTTTGATATTCGTTACGTGTACGTTAAAGTCACTTCAAAAGTTCTAATACTGGTCGATTATTTTGTCCCGAGGGTAAACCGCGTATACACTATACCTCCCTCGACCACCCCGATGTGGGACGCCCATGTTTAGCTCATATATATAGGTATACCCTGGCTCTCATTCCATAACATATTATAATTGAGCAGTGATGTGATAACTGATAACGACAAAACACAACTCACGCGTCTCGTCCGGGGGCAATAGGGGAGCGGCGGCGGTTGCAGAATTTGCGGCGGTGCTCTCCTACGACGACGACGCCGTCAGCGGCGGTCGGCTGCACAAAAACGACGTCGGCGGCGGCTGCTGAGACGGTGGCGGCGGCGGTCTCGTGTGATGCACGGTGTGAACGGCACGCGACATAATAATATTATATAATGATGTATATATATACTATACGCAACCCGAAACGAAACGTTTAAAATTAAATTGATAAATGTATAATATTTTAATAATAATAATAATAACGGTAATAACAATATTATACGAACCGCTATTTAACTAATAACGCACGACGACGACGCCTACGGCATACAAGTATACGACGAAGACGGGTCGGTCGCGCGGCTTTTGCGGCGCGTACCGTACGCGTGGACCATTTAAAACGACGATAATTTTAAACGGCGGCTGCGGTGGCGGAGACGACGATAATATTTCTATTAATAATATATCACATTATGTATCGGCCGCCGCGGTGCGCCCCCACTGATCACACTGTCTTCCGCGCAATACACACACACACACCCAAACGCGCGCGCAATATAATATTAATAATAAATAACGGCAATAGTATAGTAATAATAACGGTGCTGATGATAATACGACTGCGGGACCGCTCAAAGAGTGATAGAGAGAGACACCCGACCCGCCGGCACGCACCGCTACTAACTCTCCTGTACAACAGTCCGCGTCGGCGGCACACGACGCGAAACGCGCACGGCGGCAGTGGCGGCGGCGACGACGGCAGCGGCACGTTCGCGCTATCGCAGCCCGCGACGACAGTCCGTAAAGTAATCCGGGGATTTTCCCGTCGGCGTGCCCCAGGATTTTACACCGCCGCCGCGACGTGCTTCCTCCCGCCCCACGAGGCGTCTTCCGCCACCCACACCCACCCACCATACGTGTTGCCCCACCGCCGCCCTTGACGTCCTGGAGGACAATTGGGGCCATCTCGACTCGAGCGCACCGTGGCAATGCACGCGCGCGGGGGGGGCACTCGCTCAGCTCCGGCGCCCCATCACCCCACCCAGCCCCACTCTATACACGCAGTGTCCTGCCGCCACCACCGGTCTTTTACCCGTCCGCTGCGACTATTATATTATTATTATTATTATTATTATACTATGTGTGCGAGCGCGATAGCGGGGGCGATCTGACCGTTGGCGAACTCTGTATGATGCACTGCGAACCGCGCGGACGACGCCACTCCCTTGCAGCGACCACCGATACCACCCGAATATTACGGAGGTACACTTTGCTGGGATCGCATCGGGTCTGATGCACTCGGTGGTGACCAATATTGTACTGTATCGTGAAACGACGGCATTATAGGGCTTATACAGCTACATAACACACGCCTACACATACAGCTATACCTTCATGTTATAATAAAGCCGATGGTTGCGTGCGTTATGTAGATAGGTACCCATGCTCGGCCCGAGAGAATCGGAAATTTTGTAATAATTTTGACGCCGATATTCTGGAGACAGTGTGGTTCTAGTTATCGGTGTGTTGGTCGTTTTGTCGACGTGACACAACGTATTCCGGTACTCGGGCAAGCCGAGAAATCAACCATGTTACCGCAACGTGTTCAAAAACCAGCATCATTCATTTTATTGACCCATCATCTCGAACCTCATGAACGCGTCGCCACTCACCTCGAGTGCCTCTTTTGCCACCACCCCAGAACCCCACCTATTCTTACCCGGAGGCAATTCAGTAGCGTTGTCATCTGACGACAGCGTAATGAAAAAAATAATTCGACAAGCACCACTTAAAAATCCGCAATCAAAGCATATGACGCACCGACCCCATTGATGTTTAACCCAATTTAAGGCGAGAAGAGCCCCGGCGTCATTATCCGAGGAGTCTCACTTCCTCAGTATCTGCTATATACCGTCACGGCACTCTCACGCGTATAACAGTGGGTAAGGGGTGTAAAGAAGGATTCGCTGCCTGCAAAGCATTGAACACAAAATAGTTTTTCATCTTGTCTGTTCTACATTTGTGTCTGTGTGATTATTAATAAATTATTAAGGGTGAAAAAAATTAGACACGGTACCGGTAACCGCTATACCAGCGTGCGTAGTTCCCGGGTACCAATTTTCTTCTAAACACTAACACATCGAACCAGAGGAACTGTCATCATACGCCGGGCGTTGTTGCAACGTTGCCGCGGTGAGTCAGAATCGCTCGTTCGCGTTCCACGTTTTTATTATTGATTTAAGACGAGGGACAAGATGCGGTATCCATGGCAACGTCGGACCCAGGGCAAAGGCGCGAAAGGAGTGAGAGAGAGAAAGACAGGGAGCAAACGAGTGATGGTGAGGAATCGCGAGCGGAGAGGAATAGTGATGCTTCTCGCGGTGGTGGATAGGACGTGCCACGCCCAAGAGGTGGCGCGCTGCTGCGGATGCACTGCGTTCTTCCCTTACACTATGCACACCGTTCGCCCGACAACGAGGCTTATGTACGTATGTCCCATACGCTGCGTGACCAGATGCCCACACGATAACGCACTTGACCTCATCACCCTCGTTAGCCGCAAGTGTGTTGCGAAAAGTATAGTGTAGGTACTCTCTCGTTGCGCAATAATAGGCATATAAAACTGTATGACATGTCAATAAAAATTGACGCATGTACTCTCAGGGTATTTAATGCAAAGTAATACTGCAGTATGTCACTCGCCTGAAGGGTCTCGCCACACTTGGGTATTTTCGCCGTCTAGTTCGAAGGGTTTAAAAGCCGCGATAATAAAACCGGTCGCGCCAATGCGCCACACTAACGGTATTAGAACCTAATCTACGTTCATTCCCATAATATTCTCAGCGGTAAAGATACGAATAATCGAAGTTTTACATAATTATGTATATCAGTTATTACTTACTACTCTTTTCGTTTTACTATTCATGATACTACAACGTAGGAATGTATGATTAACCAAACTTATATAATTACATTATTTATAATAATAATATATGATTATTTTTGATTTTACTATTTTATATTATACAGGAAAGAATACATAGTACTTTTAAAATGTAAGTAAAATATATTAAACATAGTTGAATAAAAATTATAAAATCAAATAATTATATTTAAATTATTTAGAATGGATATTATTAATCATATCATGTATCATTACCTATATTATTATGATAAGAGTAATAGCTATTACTGAAGCACTTGGTGAATTAGAGCCACATGCAAGGCTGCACCTGAACTAGGAACTAGAAACAAGAAACTAGGCACACAAGATCTATCCCGATTCCCTATGAACCACCTGAATATACTATACTAATACTATTAGAATGTTGATAAAACATATTAACATAATATGTAATTCATCTATAAAATATTTAAATATTTTCATCTATAACATAAAAATAATTGTGTGGCTTGGTGTGGCGCGTTGGCTGCTACCAGTCGCGAAATGCGACCGGGAGTAAGTAACAACCACAGCTACTAGCTCCCGGATAGGTGACCACTCGGGTTCATAGTAGTTAAAAACCTTGCCACACATACACGTGTTTGCTACCTATAGTAACAATCGTAAAAACAACCTACCGTACCAACCTTACCCCTACCACAGTTCATAACCCCTACAACAGCTAATGTCCTTAGTCGCCGGGCCTAAGTTCATAACAAAAAAATTCTGATGAATAAAAAAATTAAATATTATCAAAAACAATGTTTTTATTCAATCATACGTAAAAATGTTAAATGAAAATATAAGAAAACCGTTATCATTACGCCATTTCAATTTTTAAACGACGATCAACGACATAATTGATCTAGTATAACAGTTTTTCCATAACAATAGATATGCTTAAAATGCACTTCAATTACAGAATCTCATGAGTATTTATTATTATACCATATCAATTCATTTTTCTATTAATATAGAAAAGAATGATGGTAAATAAAAGATTTTTTTATTATTATTCATTAACATATAGCAATGAGTCATTAGTAACTGAAGTGACAAAACAATTGTGTTGAAATGGTCAGAAAAAAAAAATATAATTTGACTCAAAACATATTCTTAATTTTACTGCTATTAACTTACTGTAAGTATATAGTATTAATATTTACATTAAAAAAATTAGGAAGAATTGTTGCCAATCACAACATTATATTTATATTATGATGTAAGCTTTAAGAGAAAAATAATGTTCATATATTATAAATTTCCTATTTTCTAACATTTATATAATTTACAAAAAAAAAAAAAATATAATAATAATAACAAATAAATATAAATTTGTTGTTGGGACATTTTTTTTAAGACAATTTTAAAATAACATTTTGAAATGCTGTGTCGATTTATCAGTAAATTTTTATTTCTAAAAATAAAGTTATTTTCAGAATAATTTAAATTTGAGTCATGCATAGACCATGACAACAACAGTTCTGTCCCACAGGGACTCGATGATTTTTTCAACAATTCCATTAACTGTTGGGTAATGTATTAACATTTTAGAACAACAAGGTGCTCATACCACCCATTTCACTTTGTTCTTTAACAAATATTTCAAAATACTGGTATATAATAGTAACAGCTAACAGGATACCAGTGCCCGATCCAATGGCACCCATGAAGTCAGCCAACACAGATAATGCACCAATACAAAGCCCTCCAAACGCTGCAGCAGTAGGTATATAACGGTTCAATTCATGAATCATAGAGTTATCCCTGTGACCACGCATAACCATTTGTTGTTCTTTTAATTGTTTTGCAACCTATAAACATAAATGTTTTTATTTATAGGTTTAAGATAAATAAATTAAATTGGATATCAAATTGCTGTACTAACATCTTTAGCGGATGATCCAGAGACTTCAATCCAAGTTTTGGAAAAGAATGCACATGATCCCAACATAAATACAATATAGAGAATAGCGTGGATAGGATCTTCTGCAATATGAGATAGATTTTCTGGTGGAGATAAATAATAGCACAAACCGCCAACTGGATATGCTCGTGCTGGTCCACCACCACCAACATCAGCCCAAACACCCAATAAATTCACTAATATGTTACCATGGAATTTTACAGCCAACATCTGTAAATAAAATATTCAATATATGAGTGGTTAATTATATAATCAAAACATAATTACAATCTTTTTACCTGAGATATAACATATAAATTTGATACAAGAGCAGATTGTAAAATGATAGGAATGTTTGATGTATAGAACAACTTGATTGGATAGCTGCTATATTGTCCACGATACCTGGCAGACTTAATTGGTAGATCAACTCGGAAACCCTATAATATTATCATGAACAAATAATATTATGAAAACTCATATTTTTTTTAATTTTAACTTACTTGGAAATATATTACAATAGCAAACACCAATACAGTTGCCAATAAATTCATCAAATTCGGTAAGTTTTGTCTATAAAAGGCTTCTCTGAGTGCTCTAACCTTATCTTGTCTTGTAGCCAATAAATGGAACAAGGCTATAACAGCTCCTTCAAATTCAGTACCTCGACCTAAAAAAACATATTTATCATTTTAACAAACCAACTATAAAACAACAAATAACTTGTAAAAAATACTTTAAATAAAATATATTTTACCTGTATTAACAGTTGTTGGACTGAAAGCTTTCCAGACTATCGTTTCACAAATGTTGGTAGCAATGAAAAGTGATATTCCCGAACCTAACCCATATCCTTTTTGCAAAAGTTCGTCCAATAACAAGACAATTAATCCAGCCACAAACAACTGAATGATGATTAACAAGCATACGCCAGCTCCAATTTCACTGGGATCACCATACATACCAGTCATAACATAAACAATTGCTTGTCCAACAGTAATAACCATACCAAACACTAGAAAAAATATATTTTTGGTTAATTAAATAAAATAGTTATATTTTTAATTTTATTATTTAAATATAATCCATACGTTTTTGTGCGCCATTAAATAATGCACGATCTTTAGGAGTATCACCAACTTCAATGATTTTAGCTCCAGCCAACAATTGCATAATAAGCCCAGAAGTTACAATTGGTGAAATTCCAAGTTCCATTAAAGTACCTCGATTTGAAGCCAAAATTACACGAATCCAATAAAAAGGATCAGCTGAGTCTGAACTCATAATTCCAAACAGAGGTATCTAAAAATTATATAATTTTAAAATTCTAAAGACATTAAAAATTATTATAAAATAAAATAACTTACTTGACAGCAAACCAAAAAAATGAATAAAGTAATGGCAGTCCATAATACTTTTTCTCTGAATTGAATCTAAGTAAAATAAGAGTATATAATTAGTAATGACTAATTAAATTCATTATTTAATTTTAATTTAATAGAAAATATAGGTGTAAGTAATTGATAATTAAATCTATAATATTAACACATCATTTTTAAAATATAAACAAATAACAAACCATTAATTAAAGTAAATTAAAATTAGAATTAAAATCTATTATAGTTTATAACCAATAAACAAACTAAATATATATTGATCAATTAAAATTATCATATCATTCATATATATTATCTAATAAATATATTTATTTGCTTAACTAAAATATAATTAGTACCTATATATTATCAATGTAAGCATAGATTTCTTTTAACTTGAATAAAACTAACTAATATAATTTGGATCTAATTATTAAGCACTGTTAATTTGGGCACATAAGTCAGTGTTATTGTCTGTTTTAAGTGACCTAAAAATATCCTAATAACATAAATAGTTTTAACAGTGTCTAAATACTTACTTTACGTTCAGGTTTAGCAATTTCTGGCAATATACTGCAGAAAGGTTTAATTACTTCTAAAAATTTAACTGAAACAAAAATAAAAAAACAAACAAATTAAATTATTGTATAACGATAATTTTTGTTTTTGTATGATCTAAAATGTATTAGGTAATAAATTAGATTTTACGAGTAAATATACATAGAATACATTTTGATGGATCTAATGATTTAATTTGTTGGACACAAATTAAATGTCAGAGTATAGTCAACTAGATGACAGTGTGCATGAAATGTTCCATAGACTTGGAATAAAAGCTAAAATATTGTATATTATAATACAATACATTATTCAATTGTTATAGTTTTTTCATTGTCTGGGTAACATTCATAATTACAACAAAAATTAAGCTTTTGGGTATTGAGTATAGTTATATTACATTTTAATCAGTAGGTAATGTAGATTATCCAGAATATGATACCTTACTTTAATATTTTAATAGTGAACAGAGACTTTCTTTAAAACTATCATATTTTTAACAGCATAGGCATTTAATAGTTAGATAGATATTAGATAATACTATTTACGGTACTTAGGTGTTATCTCGACTACCCAAATATTTCCAAGACTACCTGTGAGAATCACCCGTCAGTCAGTCGACAGCCGTCCTTATTACGTCCGTCAGTTATTATTTACTGTATAGTACTACACGATACGTCTAGCCAACATGAATTTTTTTTAATTTGTAAACTTCAGAAAAGGAAGCTGTGCAATTTTTTCAAGAACGCGGAGTGTTGCCAAGTGTACAGATTTGCCAAAACAATCACTTGGCAAAGTTATATTTTGGAAAAGAAATATTTTGGAAAATGCAATGTTAAGAAATGCCGAAAAAAGGTAAATATACGTAATGGTAATTGGTTTGCAAAATCACGAATATCGTTTACAGTTGCTGTACGATTTATATATGGGTGGTCTCACAAAATGACGAGTGCGAAATGGTGCGAGCAACAATTAGGTTTATGCCTAAATACAGTTATTACTTATTGACTGGAATAATTACCTACGCGAAGTATGTGCAATGGCTGTTGAAATTAAACCACAAACAAAATTAGGTGGACCGAGGAAAATCGTCGAGATCGATGAAAGTCTATTTTCGAAAAGCAAAATTAGCAAGATTCCTATCTTACTGAATTTGTTTGGCGACAAAACATTGGAGACGATACACCATTTGATAAAATTCTAATGGATCTTAAAACATACTTCCCTCCACAAAAAAATTATTAATTACCATACATATTATTTTTACCAGATTTTTTTTAAGTACTTAAACATTATTTTGTAATAATTTTTTATAACCATAAAAACGTAAAAAAATATTGAATACATATTATTTTTACCAGGTAGACGATATAACACGGTTGTGCACCCAAGGTAGTCGAGATAACGCGTAAGTACCCTATTTACATTTTAAAGATTCATAAATTAAATGGTAAGTTATACAAAAAGTAGGTGTAAGAAAGATGCCAAATATGCAATTTTAAAATAGGACATAAGACAATACACGTTAACAAAATTTGTTTACAAAATGTAATTATAAATTAATCACTTAAATTAATCATATTATGATATAACAAACAGCTACGTCACATCAATCCATGCTTCAAAAATCATTTATTTAATTTATGAACGAATAACTAGTTTTAATTCAATCAATACACTTAGCTAGCTAACTAAATAAACGAATAACCCATTAGTTCATGAATAAATAACACATTTATTCATGAATGGAAAAACGATTTCTATAGACCAAAAACCTGACCCACTTTTTGAAAACCAAAAAAATTAAAAAAAAAATTTCAAACGAATTGTTTTAGAACTCATAACAAATCGTTTGAGAAAGAAAGAAACACATAATTAACTGCCGAGGTATAAATCAATTTACAGCAGATGCCCGTTGCCAACAGGTATCATAGATGTAAAGGGGTTTCTTCACGGAGGGTTATAGAAAATACGAATTATCCAAAAGTGTAAACCAAAAATGAAATGGAAAATAAACAGTAATAATACTTACAACCCATTGTGATTGATTTGTGTTCGTGACAGTCTTTTGGCTTCAATTATTAAAGAACATCAGTAGTAAAACGACACGTATTTAACGTCAGGAACCATAAGAGACGAGTGATCTGGAAAAGGTGGACGTCACGGCGACAGAGTACAGTTTACTTTCAATATTCTGTGGAACGTACAACCACGTAGCGGCTTGACCGACAACATCAACACGAACACACATGCAACGATTTTTGTCGATGAGTCGGCGACACGTATGGTGTACACATACCAAAGAGGTTACAAACACGCCCTCCCACGGACGGTGTACATGTGTACAACATTATGTTGTCAACATACCATATTTTGTTTTAATTTTTGTCATGCAACGTTGGACTTCGTCACAGTATTTTAATAATAAATTTAAATATTACGAATAATACGTTTGCAGTTTGTTTTGTATTATGACATAATAATATAATTATTATTATAAACAATTAACATAAATTAATATCATATAAAAATTATATTATATCATGAATTACGGTGTATTAATTATATAATGCGTATACTCTAATCCAAGATTGGCTATGCAATAATGTAACGAATTAACGGTAACGGATTTCGATTTTTTTTGTTTAATATTTATTAATTGTTATTGATTTATAGCTAATGGACAATGGTTATATATATAGAGAGAGAGTGGTTGACAATTTAAAATTTTGAAACATTAAAAAGATTCTACCAAAAATTGTAGATATTTTTTATTATTTAATACCCTTGATAGTTTTTTGTATTTTTATTTTTATGTAGAGTGGACCCAAAATGGATATGTTCTTAAAATCTTAATCTGAAACATAAGCTGAATCTATATTAGCTATATTAGTATTTACTATTTTGTATGTATGATGGCTAATGTAGATAGCTGAAAACAACTCAATAACATTAAATATTAAAATGTAATACATTTATTTATCTATCTCAGTCTGTTCCACTATATAAGTCCACTACAAAGAATTGAAGGCTAGTGCTAAAGGCCTAAAGGTTAAAAGTTAAGACAAACTGTTAAACGACTGAAGTGGACTGCTGAAAACGAATTACAAGTACCAAATACCAATGAACCATGATAGTCCAAAAGTCATAATTCTTTCAATAGTCTATTATTCTAGGCAACGACATAACGGCCTACTCAAGGTTTATAGATTATTTTAACTATTATTATAGGTTTATAACTTAAATATAACTTATATTTTATAAAAGATTGCGAGCTTCGAGTACTTATTATTACAGAATAAAACTGATTCGAGCACAGATCTATAAATCTATAATAGTCCGTGGTTTCGAGCATGATCATGGTTTCGACTAGTTTCGAGCATAGAGTAATATAGAGAGGCCGTTTCCACTGAATAGTGATGCGGAAACTGTGGATAATAATCAGTGTCACCACCAATAAAATACAAAAAATTGTACTCGTCATTTTGTATCATAATTCAAGCCATACCATAATGTTACTATGTACAATGTACAATGTTACAATAAATGATGAAACAAAATATGTCAGGAATAATTTAAAATCCTATCTGCTCTTTCTCAGTGGCGGTTTTTAGGGGGGGGGGGCGAAGGGAGCTCTCACCCCCGCCCCCGCCCCCCTTAGATTTTTTTTTGTATGTCCTTTTTTCAAATGAAATTACACTAAATGCTTGAATATTATGCTTGGTATATTATACTATTATAAAATACATAGTATGGAAATATATAAATATTAAATAAAAATGTCTACACAAGATATTTAATTTTAAATTTAAATTAAAATACTATCATTACCGAAACATTTTTATTTTACATATTACATTTGTTAATTTTAATATAACTACTAACTTTTGACAAAGTAGATGTTTCATCCAAAGGAAACACACCTAATTCCACATCACTTATTGAAGATACCTAGAAAAGCAATAACATAATAAGTACCTACAGTAATATTATTATTAGAATAGTAAACAATGTACGTAAATTAATACTAAAATAATTATTTACCTTAACAAGAGTTTTATCAAAATGTAAAATATCATTTTTTTTATTTATTGTTTCAGGTACTGTTACTGGTACAGTTTTAGTAGTTTCAGTAAAAGATTGTTTTGCCTAAGAAAAATATTATTATTATTAGATTAGTTATATGTATAAAAAAATATTAATGCAATAATTATTGTAAACTTGCATATTTTATTCGACCGACAACAATTGATGGAAATACATGTTTGTATAATAACTTTCTATGTTGTTTCATTACAAAACATGATTTCTCAAAATGTAATGAACAAATTACACTATATTTGGTCACGTCTTTTGGATTTAGATAGTTTTCTACTAAAAAATTATCCCACTTTTCTCTAATATTATCTTTAGTAGGAAACCTAAAAAACAAACATTACACTATATTTTCAAACGTCTAGATATATATTTTTTAAATCTTAAGTCTTAACCATACCTGTGAAAAGATATATTAGCAGATTTAGAATTTAGATTCTCTGTTCTTCCACATACAAGACAACTAGGCATTATGAGGATTACTACTTTAAAACACGTCTAGTCAAACATAAAAAATAATGAAATCGTAAAATCGTAAAATGTAAACCGAATAGTTTAATCGTGGTAAAACCAGAGTCATAACTCATAGATCGTAATTCGTAATCGTTAACGGATGCAATGTCGCAATCATTATAGAGTATTACTATATGATAACATTGCTGATAACATTTAACAAGCGGTACGTTTTACAATATTTTGTACAATATTTTTTTTATCAATAACGAAGGCCCTGTTAAATATCCACATTTTGTGCATCAATTAGTTAACATGGGCGATATACCCAACGGCCTCTCTATATTACTCTATGGTTTCGACACAGAATAACCAGAAGAGACACCTTTTCAGTTTAACATGGGTTCTTATGGGGCACAGATTTGCAACACCTGGTGGAATATCAGTGCTGCCGGTAGAAAGATAATTCCCATTATTCTTTGTTTCTAGCGCGACTGTTATTCCCTGAACAGATAAACAATCGCAGATATATGGACAGCTGATGTCGAAAGTTAGTAAACAAACCCTTATCAGTGTGACCAGACAGAAAGAATTTTACATTTTTATTATATACATGGATACACTGATATTCCACAAAGTTGAACAGATTTTTGAGTGCTCAGCGTGTGTCCATTCTGGTTATTCTGTGGTTTCGAGTTGAATGCTTATCAATTATCATGGATTAATGTCCCAACCTCAAATATAAAAATGATATGATAACGATATAACAACAAATTATATGAGATAACCGAGTTGTTCTTCATTGCAATCATTGGAATTTGCTAAGGTTTTTTATTTAGTTATAGATTTTGAGTTTAATTCTATTTTATTTATATGAGTAAATAAAAATTATTCGTTTTAATCAGTTAGTTTTGTTCTATGTTCCGTCATGTTTGCTACATTACGTTCACTCATTCACCCTGGGAACGGTGTAATCCTATCAGTTAGGGGCCTTAAGTCTGATTTACACATAAAATGGGTCCGACCAGAGAAAATTGCTTGCTGGGATCCTAAAAAATCTGGTGACTTGTCACCCTTGGAGCCACTGGACATGTCAAAACCTCCATTAGAATATCAAGAATCTGAGGAACTAAAAACGTAAATGATTAACATTACTTTATTTTTTTTTATTGACGAAAGGTTATGAAAGTAGTTGACTTTTATTAACCAAATTTTATTTTAGAGCCAACGAATATGTGCGTAAAGTATTTTCTTGTGACTTTATGGGACGGCGGTATGCAACGCAACTGGCTCGCCAACAACTCATTGATAAAGTCAAAGCCAATAATTTGGATTTTACATCATGTGAAGTTCAAAGTATGATCATAATACAATATTGATAACTAAAAATTATATTTTAATTTTATTTTTACTTTCTTAATTCGAACAATATAGTATATTTATTAAAAAAAAAAAGTTACTAATTAGGTAGGCACATATAATATTTAAAAAATATTTTTTCAGTTTATTATAAAATTATAGGTAAATTATAGTAAAAATTATAATTATAATTTAATATAAATTATAATTATAAATTATAGTAAAATTATAGGTATCTGTATAATATGTAATTAAGTCGGCTAAGAACTTTTAGATTTTTCATATATGTCTTTGCAGAACTATGGGAGTGATCTATAAATATGTTACAGAACTCTCAAGTAATATTTAAATTTCTTTGCATTATTTGGTCATTACCGCATACATATATGCATATTTTAATATAGAAGAAATTATATAATAATATACATAAGATAAGACCTACTATGTATTTTTGTTACAAGTATAAGTGTATGAGGGCTTTCATACCTTTGTGGCTAGAGAGGCAGCTACACATGCCTCCCCGGTAGAAAACACCTATGGTTAGTCCAGCCGTTAAAAAACATAACACAATAACAATACTTAATATTTTGGCAAGATAATTTTATACACCCTTTGACCCATAATTTCTAATATGTGTTTAGATAAAAATAATATGTCCAGATATCAGAATTGAGAAAGCAAACCATAAACGTAATCATTGTAATTGTGTTCATTAGTATTTTATTTTAAGACCTATTCATAACTAATAACATTACAACTAACCAATTTTAATTATAATTGTCTAACCAATATTTTAGATAATTATATAACTTAAATATTAGGTCAATTTTATTCTAAATTTTTTTCAATGCTATGGAAAATAAGTAGATAAATATAGATTATAAGTAAAAAATATGTTATACGGTTCTACTATATTTATATCCAATAAATATTCATGTTTTTTTATTTAGTTGCCAGTATGACAGCAAACATTCGTAATCTTCAAGAACACTACAAAACATCTCCAAGAGATAAAAATTCTAGAGTAGCATTAAAAGAAATAATAGATAAACGTAAAAAAAGACTGAAACATTTACGAACTTGGGACTATAAGAAGTTTGAATGGTTATTGGAAAATTTGGATTTAATGTATCATCCTCACCCGTAAGTAAATTACAAAATAATTTTACAATATATTTATATTCATAATTTGTATTTCTATTCTAGTCCCTATGAACGGGTTGAAAGAAAAAAATCCTTACGTCGTCTAACATCTAAATGGTGTGATGAAGTTAAATCAAAAAAACTGGCAGAATACCGTACTGAATTGGATAATGAAAAAGAAAAATTTTTGAAACAAAAGTTGGAAACATTAGAATGGGCTAAAAAGGAAGAAGTTGAATGTGGAGTTGAACCAACAATAACTGATGCTGATATTGAAAATGCCCGTAAGCAATTAGAAGAATGGAAAACCCTTAAATCAAATCAAGAATAACCATAAGTGGATAAATGAGAATTGTTTAACAAAAATTACAAATTTAATGTTCAAAAAAACAATTCTATAGTATTAAAATTATTAACTAGTTTTTTATTTAGGACTTAAAATTTAATTGCTTGGTATTGTGCCAATTTTTGAAGCTACTTCCTGCCATGTATTTGAAGCAATTAAATTTGCTTTCTGTTGTCCTTCTTGTAGTACTTTACTCAAATATTCCGGTGAATCTATTAATTTTAATATCTCCTGACGAATAGGCGTAAATTTTTCAACTAACGCTTCTGCTACTATATGTTTATACCTTCAAAATAAAATATTATAATAAGTATCAATAGTTATACACTTGTACTATATATATAAGACTGTTAAGATTAAAATAATATTGTAACTCTATTTAAGTTTTATATTATCATTATTTGTTCTTAAAAAAAAAACTAAAAAAGAGTTACAATATTTTATAATTATTATTTTGTTAGGTAAAACTAATTTACCGTCCAGTGTCCAACAGCGAATTTTCTTCACAAATTTCTTCTGGCAATAGTCCACAAATAAGTGAATGCATAGTTAAAAGTGTTGAAACACCTGGTCTATTTTCAGGATCATATGTTATTTTAGATGTACAATCTGTAACAGATTTTTTCACTTTTTCTACAATGACATCTGGTTCATCCGTAATTTCTATTCTTCCACGAGGATCTGGATGAGACTTAGACATTTTTTTCATAGGGTCACGAAGATTTCTTATCCTTGAAGAGCAATTTTCTAAAGACAAAATTAAAAAGTTAACAAGTCCATACAGTATATTTAAGTTACATATATTTATATTTAAATTATATAATATAATAAAATATTGTATTTACGTTGAATAAGAACTTCAGGTACAGGAAATGTGTTACCAAAGCGTTTGTTAAATGTTCGAGCTAAACTATGAGCTAACTGCAAGTGTTGAATTTGATCTTCGCCGACTGGTACTTTAGTTGCTCTACAACAAATAAAATAGGCCAATGACGAAAATGTTAGATAGAAAGTATAATTGATTACTTATATAAAAGTATGTCTGCAGCTTGCAAAACTGGATATAAGTACAAACCAAGGGGAACATCTTTCAAAGTTGAAGACTTTTCTTTAAATTGAGGCAACTGGCCCAATCTAGGCATTGTTGTTAAGCATCCAAGAACCCAACTTAATTGTGTATGTTCAGGTACCTAAAGATTAAATATAATTTACAATCGGGTAATAATTTTAGTGCTATATTAGTATAAAAAAGTTATTTTTCTATTTAAAGAATAGAATAAAAATGGATTATTGCATTTTTCAAGTTTTTAAACACTAAAAGTATAATAAGCTATAAAGTATAATATAATTATTATAATATTATATCAAACAAACAATATTTTTTACCATAATCAAGAATTTAAATTACCTGAGATTGCAGAAATAGGGTGCTTTTTTCAGGATCAATTCCACATGCAATTAGACTAGCCGCCATAAGAAGGACATTTTTTTCTAATTCCTTGGTATTCTAATAAAATAGAAAAATGTCAACATAACAGTCCTAGTTTATATTAGATATACAATATTTAACTAACATATGGCAAAGTAATGGAGTGCATGTCAACAATGCTGAATATGACTTCTCTGTTTTCATTTTGTAGTTGAACCCACTTGGATACAGCACCAAAGTAATTACCTAAATGCAAGGTCCCTGTAGGCTGAATCCCAGAGAATACTCTATCCTTCCATTTAACCTAGAAAGTTGTTTTTAAATATTTATAATTAAAAAATTATTAAATAAATATTGAAACAAATTAAGTAAGATTAAAATAAAGCATGTTGATCACTTACATTTGAATGACAGAAACGTACAAGTGTTTGACAGGAAAGTGAAATCTTTTTTAAAATCATATTTAATTATGATGATATTATACTGCAACAGTGCAACTGAATACTAAAATCAATACCATACGTCCAAGCTAATTAAGTTAACATTGTGCAGAAGTTACAAGCTATAACTATTTACAATAATAATCAAGACTGGAGACAATATTCTAGTCTCTTTAAAGTCATATAATTGTTTATCAATTTATTATTAAGACTTAAGTCAATACTTCGATACTCAAAATTCAAACAGGTACTTAATTTATACACAATCGCCAATCAGTCATCTGGTACATGGCTAAATAACATATCTATTTATTAGCCATGATCTGGTATAAAAGATAACAATTAATCAAAATATGAGGATGGTCACGTTCTATCATGATACCCATAGACCTATGCAGTGCGTGCATTGGTGGTTTCACTTATGTTGGTGTGACTGTTTTTAAAATACCTGCTTGCGTCCAATTTTTATCAAACAACAATTTTTTTTTTATATTTCAGGTTTCATTCAGCATTCTTCATTATAACAATAATTGTTTTGGAAATTGGAGGGTTCACGCCGCCGCGCCGCCGTGTTTGTTTATAATATAAATTAAAATATAATATATATTATTATTCCCATCAGTCGGTAACGTACTAAGACTAACGTGTGTCCACTGTCCATACTCCGTAATATTACGTGAAATATTTCATTTTTCAAACACTCACTGTATTAAATCAACTTTTCAGACATCGGAGTTTGGTAAGGATTTTACCTGTTAATGAACATTGATTTATTACCAATTCCATCTTTACAATGTCGGTTGAAAAAGACATAATTAAAATACAAAACAAGCTACAAAGCATGTCCGACGAAAATGCTGACCAAACCCAAGCCCTTGATTTACTGAAAGCTCTCAAAGACCTTCCGATCACACTGGACATACTTACTAAGACTCGTGTAGGAATGACTGTCAATTCATTCCGAAAAAGCTGCAAAGATGAAGAAGTAATTACATTTTCGAAAGCATTGATTAAAAATTGGAAAAAACTATTAAGTGGAGACAAGTCTGTACCTCAAGAGCCGAAGAAAGATAAAAAAGAGCGTAAAAAGTCCGAGGAAAGAGAACAAAAAATAGATGCTAAGAAAGATACTCCAAAACCAGTCGTATTTCCAACACCATCAACAACAGATGCAATTCGTCTTAAATGTCGCGATTTACTAATCACCGCATTGAAAACTGAAGATGAATTTGGTGGTTGTGCTTCAATCGAAGAACTTGCTGATGAACTAGAAGATGCCATTTACTCCGAGTTTAAAAACACTGATGCTCGGTACAAAAACAGAGTAAGAAGTAGATACTCAAATCTAAGAGATGCTAAAAACCCACAACTAAGAAGCAATTTCATTGCTGGCGCTATTACTCCTGCTCAATTAGCTAAAATGACTGCTGAAGAGATGGCCAGCAACGAAATGAAAACATTGAGAAATAGACTCATTAAAGAATCTATAGATGATGCTCAATTGGCTACTGTACAGGGAACTTCAACTGATTTATTGAAATGTGGTAAATGTAAGAAACGAAATTGTACGTACAACCAAATCCAAACAAGAAGTGCTGATGAACCAATGACAACCTTTGTTATGTGCAATGAATGTGGTAACAGATGGAAATTTTGTTAGATTAATAATACAGATGTTCAGTTTAGGTCTTGATGGAGCACCTAAATATATGTATAATAATTGTATTTTTTTCTTCATTTTTTATTTTTAAAAAAAATTGAAGTTGATATGCCTACAAATTCATTATTCACTAATAGAACTTTTTTAGTATTTAAAAAAAAACTCATTTGTGAGATCGGTTTTATGTACCTATGACCTATATTTAATATATAAATAAATTTATATTATTGAGTGTGACTAAAATTTTTATATTTTTGAAACTCTTGAATGCAATAACCACCCATATTTTTAAGTATAATTTAGTTGAGCCTATAAAAAGTCTTACACTTTCATTCTATAATTAATGTAAATACATAATTTTCAATAAATTACTATGAATAAAAACATGATGATCTGTGATTACTGATTATACATCAAATATACATGTTATTTTGTAATATTATGAATCATAAAAATAATTTACTATAATAATTCATTAATTAATTTCTTTCTAAGTTATTAGATAGTTTGTACTATGCATATTTCATAAAAAATATTTGAATATCTATTAAGAAATATTTTTTTTTTCCAAAGCATTGAAAATTACTAAATAACAACTTTAAATATAACTATTCATAGTAATTTCATGTTATTACCAATACTGAATCCAATATTATTTTAGGATTAATAACAATTAAAGTAAAGAGATTAATCCAATGACTATTATTAAATCACTTTCATAACAAAATTATATTTAACAGTTAACACATATTATATTGTATTCCAGAGCCAGAGATTTTCTAACAGTTTTATTTACTTATTATAGATCACTCGATCAGTTTTGTATCACAAATATTATATGTATAATATGATTATATGTATACAAATTAAATATAACTACTCATAATTATAATGCATAAATATATTAATTGATTAAAATTCATAAGTATATTTAATGCCTTATATAATATTAGTAACTCCGGGACGGTTCCAGAGACATGGTTGGGGGAGGGGGAGCTAAATCATAATTTTCAGAAAATATTATAATATATTATTTTTTTGAAATTTTGTTTTCAACAGTACAATTTTATAGAAATATCCCCCCCCCTTAAAGCTGCCTCTGGTTCTGTTACAAACAAAAGTAAAATATTGATTTATTAATTTGTGTGATACTCCTACCACATGGCCTTCTGTGAATCACAGTTTAAAAACCACTGATCTATACTAAATTAAAAAAATATTTTATTTTATATAATAATGTTGATAAATTGACATTTGTTAAATATGTAAAATATAAGACATCATACTAGTTTGATAAAATATAACAATTAATGTTCTATAAAGAATGATAACGTTTGTAGCTAATAGAATATGGTATAAGAATCAATTAATATGACTGTAATAAAAGTTATCACAATTTAGCAGATACTTTAAGTTCTTCAACACCAATAGCACCTCTATGTCGCCATACTCTATAACGGGTAAGATCTTTACGAGTCACAATGCCAGTCACCTAAAATAAAGCGAATGATATAAAAAATCATCAGTTACATTATCTTACTAAGTAATTATCTATGTAATAAATACCTCATTTGAATCATTAACGACAACAATATGTCTAAGGCCCATTGCTCTGAAAAGTCGAAAAATCCTTGGCAATGATGCCATCTAAGAAAAAAAAAATGTTTTAGCTTATACGCAATAAAAACAAACTTAACATTTTATTTAAAACTGTATGTCCTTACATGTTGTACAACATATGGAGATGGGTTCATAAATCGTAGTAGATCAACTGTATATTGCCGTTCATTATCCAAGACTTCGATATCCTAAACAAAAATGTAGTACTTTCTGTGAATTAGTACCAAAAAGAGTTCACAAGAATGAATGGATAGTATCTATGTGCTTTTAGGTTATTGTATTCCAGCAGCCAAGTAACCGCCGGTAAAAATCTCATTTCTGTTATCGTACTACTTACTACATATTTATATATCGACATAAGTAGGTCAATTACAAATATAGTTATTAATTTTATAGATACATTCAAAACATTAAACGCTTATTGTGTTCAGCTAAAGAGTAGAATAAAAAAACACTCGGAAACACTTAAGTTCTATGTTAGATTCCTACAGTGTTAAAATATGAATAATAATGTATATTATAATTTAAATATCTATGAAATTTGACTTACATCTATATTTGAATATCTCGGATAATCTTTTCGGAAAGTAGTCAAAGAAACGTTATCCCAAGCAGAAGGAATCTCGTTAAATACTTTGTTTTGTAACAGTACAATAAGTTGAGATCGAAGTATCATTCCACGTAAACGACCATTAGATTTATTGTTACCTCCTTCCTAAAATATAAAATACATTTAAAGAAAACTGATTTTATTTTCATAATGCATTTTTAATTTACCGTTTCAGTGCTAAAAACGTCGTCAACTACTGGAAATCCATTATATGTATACTTTTTTAAAGTGTCCACAATTTTTCCAACTGCTTCTTTTGATTTAAACACAGTGACGGGATAAGACATAACTTCGCTAGCATAAATATTTGATGATAGTGGTGGAGGATCCCAAGCCATCAATGGTATTCCACTCAATTGTATGTGAACGTCATAAATACTCTTAAAAATAATAAAAATATTATATAAAATAATAGTATAACCATTAATACTTAATTCTCAATGAATATAAATATTTTTAGTATAATGATAATATTTATTTATTTAAATACCTCAGGGGGCCGTCAATGGGCAATTTCCCCTTCACGTCAATAAACCCCCATCCAATTTACTCATTGTAAAACATGTAAATACAGATTGTAAACATAAAATTTTGTTCAATAAAAAAAAATACTTTGGTATCTAACCTCTGTAAAATAGTCACCAATCCATTTTGCTGTTAGAAGACAAATCATAAGTGGTAAACCAAATGTTATATCACCAGTTGCTTCAATTAATATAACAGTAAGACTAATGGTCATGCGAACAGCACCACCGAGTTGTGATGCAGCACCAACCAATGCATATTTTCCAACGTCCTTAAAAATAATTGTGTTAAGTTATATTAATAAATAGAAAAATGTATAAATATTCTATACTTAAAAAAAAATATAAACATCACACATGAATGACAAATAAATAATATATTTTTTTTTATATATACAATACAATTACATAATATTTATTTTAAAAAAAATATAAGTCTTACTACATTTGGAAATACACACTGAACCCCAAGTCCGATAAGTCGTCCCCAAGCTGCACCTGTAGCTAAACATGGAATAAAAAGGCCAGCACTAACACTTAAACCGTATGTCCAAATGGTAAGTAGATAAAAAGAAATGGCAAAATACACTAATGTAGTTGCATCGAGTGATTCTAAAAAATAAATTAAAAATTACAACTTTTAGCAACTGCCAATAATAAATAACAAATATTTTGTGTTTACAAAATAATTAAACAATTATTTACCTGTTGGATCATGGAAAAAAGATCTAACTGATGCTTCAGGAACTTGAAGCCATAATGATGCCATAGAGTTATACTCGCCATCATTACAATTTAACTAAATACAGAAAATATGTTTTAAACTTACATAAATCAGTATAAAATATAATTAATTTGAATATGTCTCTCTTATAATCATAAAGTACAACTAAAAATTGCTGTCTACTAGTGATATTCATGTGCTATAATTACCAAGTATCGAAAAAAAAATACAAACTATACTCCTTTTCAAAAGAGAATAAACCGATCGGCGACCAATTTATGTCCGGCGGCTAGCATTCCACACCAATTTCCTTTTGTTAGCGTGATCACGTGGTTCTCGAAGCATCAATCAAATCATTCTACATGCGCGAAAGCGGTATATTCTCTTTTGAAAAGGAGTATATATAATTCTGCTTGGAATTAATATTAAAATTGAAAATGAAATGATAATAACCTGAACAGGATTTTTTGTTGGATCAAGGCCCAATGGTTTGCAATCATTTTGCCACAACATTAACAAGACTCCCACAGTTGCTGTACAGCAACAAACCAGAACTGCTTCTAAAACTTTCTTCCAGCGATTCACCAAATGTCTAGGAAATTAAATAAATATAGTTTTGTATTTCCTAAATGTTTAATGTTGATTACCTATGGTTACCTATGATTACCTAAAAAAATTGTATGTACCTATATTTGTCTTGGTATTATTTTAGTTGTATATTTTTATGTCTTAACTTGACTCGGTTGCAACAGATGCAAATACAAAGTACACGCAATGAAGCATTTGGCCAACACTCGTTCCTGTCGACCGCCTATCTTTAGGACACAAACAACATGACTCTGTTAACTCTCTGACTTTACCCGATCACTGGAGAAATAGAACAGAGGACTGAGCTGGTTGGAAGTACAAACCAGGACTTGCCTTAGTGACATACTACGACACTAAGTCCATGATGATATCCACTAACCATTCCAAGTGAAAGAGTGTAATTTATATTAGTATTTTATTCTTATAAAGAATGTCTAATACACATTTTACATTCAATTTTGCATTGGTTGTCTATGTTGTATCCTCATCTCTCACACAATATCAATTTCGACCAAACAACAAAAACCAATGACTAAAGTCATTACAGGTCGCGTAAAATTCTTAATAATATGGTAAGTACTCTTTTTCATAAAAAATATAAGACATTATGGATAATATTTTTAGTGGAATAATATTATAAACTCTATTTATGGATCTTAAATATACTTTAGTTTTAGTAATTAAAAAGTTATTATTAATATAATAGTTGAGTAAAAAGTTTTTTGTAATACATATTGTTAGTTACTAGAATATATTAAGTAAAATTAATATAAGATAAAAATAAACGAATAAATTAAATAATACTTAAAAAAGCAATTACTGGCAGGAGTGTCAGGATTAAAAGGATAGCCCAATATTTCAAAAATAAAAGCGATAGTGAGATAGTAATACCTTCCATTCAAAGATTTTTTTTTTAATTTAAATACTATTTATTTGTTTACAATAAATTAAGAAATTATTATTGACAATGAAACAATAAATTACCTCATTCTGAATACGGTGAGTTTATAATTAAGATGGCAAAATAATGCTCCAGTTAGTCCACCAATAATTCCCATAAAAACAAATATTGGTAATTCAAACATTTCATAAGATAACGCAAAATTGCTGAACTTGCCAAAATTCAATAAGCCCCAATACGTTAATTCACCTATTTCAGATTAAATAAATGTTCAAGAATTTTCTTATTTTATTTTTTGATCATATACTATGGATGGAGCTACAGCGTATCAAATCTGTACAAAATAATGTTGCCGTATTAGCGACGAGTCACCAAATTATAATAGGTAGTCCTATTGATAATTGTGAGAGGAGTGGCATCGCGCATGCACACAACGATCAACTAATTCGGAGACTTGTCGCTAATATCAGCAACAAAATAATACGCCGTGGTGACATCCATAGCATATGCTCCAAGGTTTTACTCCAAGGACACAGTTAACTAGTATATTACCAGGATGGCCATGATATGCACTCAAAACTAAATTTAGTGTAAATGTTGAAATCATAGATGCAAAAAATATTCTCCATGTAAGTCCTTGATTCCAAAAACTAGCTCCTTCTTCTAAACTGAATAATACGCCACCTTAAAATAATTTACAAGTTGCTTAATACAAATAATAGTAATAATAATAATAAATTTACCAACTGGTGAACCAAAAGCAGCAGCGACTCCGGCAGCAGCTCCTCCAGATACAAAATCTCTTTTCTCATGGTCCTCCCTGAAATAATTTAAAACTCCAAAATCCTTATTAAATGTGGTACTTTTCCCTTGAGAAATTCCAGCAGCTACAACTGCACCAGCATGAATCATCGGTCCTTCCTAAAATAAAAATTGTCTTTAAACATTTTACAATATTAATCATCATAATTCTACAACCTCCTTATAACTAAAAAATTTACATCAGGTGCCATGTGGATTACTGTAATGGTTATGTTAAATTTGATTTCAATGATATAAAAATTATTGTAAATGAAAAACGATTCTAAGTGAAGACGGACTGTCCTATTATATTACTAAGTATATTTTGTCTATTTTATATTTTTATGATATTAATGCCATTAAAGTAATTTATTTTACTATTAGAAGACATTAGCAATACAGTATACCTACACTGAATTAATTTTTGCCGAAAAATCATACTTGAAAAATGTCATTGTATGTATAAAATATAATAATATGTTTTAAAAATGTGAAATACCGAATAAATATTTTTAGAGTACACCAAAATAACTAAAACTGTTATTCTTTGTTTAAATATCAAATTTCATCCAAATTTGAACTTAAAATATCTATTTTTTTTTTTAAACAGTGTTTGGCCAATACACAGAAAATATCCTTCTTTATAAAACGTATAATAGCCAATAGATTCCTTTACATTACATTGAATTAGAGACTTGTAATTGTGGAAGTATAGAATCTAAATAATTTAGATTAGAATCTAAAGTAGTAAATTAAAATTATATTTATTAATAATTTACCTTTCCTCCACACATGCCACCTACAACAGTGGTAATTACACCAATAACCTTTATAAATAAAGTTTTTATTCTAACTAATCTTGGTATTTTAATTCCATTGAGGTAACATTTCACTTGAGGAATTCCAGATCCCAATGCAACTGGCTAGAAAAATTGTATTAAATTAACCTAAATCGTAAATAATAAAAATAATAAATTTAATAGTATTTATTTTAAATATACCTACTTCAACATACGCAACTAATGTAGATCCAATTAAGACTGGCACAATATTGTAAGCCAACAATAATAAATATGGTTTCCATAAACAATCTGATTGATTACATTTATCAATATCTAATATCAAGTATATAATTAAGGAATATAATAATATAATCCTTAAAGAATTTATCATAATATGACACAGTGGTGTATTCAGAATTTTTTTTTGTGTTGGGTGGGGGTTAAAATTAATTATTGACAAATTTTATCTGAAAATAATTTATTAATGAAAATGTTTAAATGTTGTCATTATTTTACAATTTTCTGGAGGGATTTATCCCCCTGGATACGCTACTGAATTATGACATATTAAATTATAAAACAAATAAGAATTAAATCATAAAAGGATACATTTTTTAACATGATTGAATTTCAAATCTGCAATAGTCTCTATTGATAAATCAATAATAATACCAACGGCGGCAGTGATTACACCAATCCAAAAGAAAATAATCCATCTAACAACGTTTTTCTTGACTACAAAAGGGTAACCTTTTTTTCGCTCTTCATCACGATAAACATAGTTTTCAACAACTTCATAATCTAAACTCTAAAAAAAAATAATTTCATTATTATTACCAATAGGGAATACAATTGTTTTAAGTAACATTATTCAATAAAATATTGAAAAAATAAGGCAATTAATTTATAGTACTTGAGATAGTATCACCTAAATTGAATATATAAATTGCATTTTTAAGTATTTTATTAAAAATTAATGGTTCCTATATTAAACATTGTACAATTTATAATAAAACACGATTATAAGATTGCATGGTTTAATTAAATATAAATAATTGATAATAATTTTATAAATTATAAAACAATATTACTTAAATTGAATATAAAAATATTAGAAATAAAGTTAATTATTTGTTAGGTTAAAAAGGTTAAAAATTTCAAAAGTTTAACCATTGTTAAGGAATTTTTTTCCAAAATTCATAACTATCGGCCATTGCATTAATATTTAATTTATTGAAGTACATAATATTCTATTCATATCGACTATCTTCTAAATCATAATAGTATGATCTCTATTTACAACTAGTAATATAAAATCATTTACCTAATAACTAAAAGTTTTCTTAAGTAACTAGGTACCTATGTGTAAAATATTTATAATTGTTTATTAAATATAAAAACATACATACATATTTTAAATTGTCTTATAATATATAAATAATAACTCACCTCATACTTTGCTGATAAAATATTTAATGATCCAATTGGTACTGAGTCTTCTTTCTCAGAAAATGAATCAAACTTTTTGGTATGAGACATTGTTCCGTATTTGGTCTATTTCAATAATTAAAACAACTAAATTATGACATAGACACATTAAAAACTGAAAAATTGTTTACATGAAAGACGCCTAGTATGCTATATTATTATCATTAATTGTAACAAAATCCTGAACAATGGTCAATGATATTGAAAAAATTAAATAACAACCACTTGTTCAATGATATCAATGTTTACAGTCTTGAGCATGCCATTTGTTTGCTGTAAAACAGTGTTAAGAATAGTGTATTACAGATTTACAGATAACTGATGTCTGCAGCTGACTCGTGACTCAGACTGTTGAATCACAATAAGCCATGAAAAAGATGTGCCAATTTTAAATTGGAAATAATTATTACATGAGTATATCACAAAAGTGTGTTCCAATGTAGAATGTATTACATAACACAATAAATAAATAAGCAATATTAATTTTCTTTGTTATAGATCTATGATAATTGGTAACATAAGTAAATTCAATATTAATCAATTTTTAAATGAAATAAATTGATTATATTAAAATAGATAGTGAAAATACAATAGGCAATAGCTAATAATAACAATAGGTATAACAGAATAAAAATATACTTACAGTGAAACGTTTTTGATTTCTGCTCATTTAACTGCTGTAAGACGGACAATAACTATAGTATAGTATTTCTATACAATCTACTCAACATAGTAATATAATAGAAATATAGAATAATAATTCACTATTAAATTTAAATATCCAAAATATAAAATATATAAAATAATTAATTAATATAAAATAATTGCATTATTTTTCAATTAATTTCTATGCCCTCAGACAGAAAGGGTAAATGTGTATAAAGTATTAAACATTTATTGTAAATTTGCACATTATTGATACATAATAATACCATTGAGTATTGAATGTTTGAATATATTACAAGGCTCTCTACTACTACTTATTTAAATTTTAAACTTTTAAAGTCTAAAGTTCTAAACTCAATGATAATACTACAGATTATGTGAAAATATCACAGACAAAACATAGAATAATCTGTGAACAAAATCTTTCATCTATAATAAATGATAATACGTATCATATTATCACAGATCACAGATTATGTAATCTAAATAATTAGTTGTTTGGCTAATCCATGATTTATTCAAAATTCAACCACAGGGCGCAGAATAAATTCTGTGATTCGACCTACTATATAATCCATTATGGTACTTACTACTTAGGAGTTAGTAAAGAATTAGTTTGAGTAAGGAAAAATCTGAGAATAGAAGGTACTAAGTAGTAAATACTATATTAGTAGGTAAGTAGTAACTAGGTACCTACTAAAAGTGGTAATCGGTCAAAATATCCAAGGACAAAACATCCAAATTTATCCGTTTTTACGAAAATGAATAGATAACATTTTACTTTCTAATAAAATTAGCTTAAATATCAAATTATTTAATTAGCTCGTTTGTAGCAATAATATCACAAAAAATACTGCACAAACATTAGTAAAATACTCAAATAACATAAAATAAAATATATAGGTAGTTAAAATATAAAATAATTTTCAAGCATTTTGACCCAACGAACAAAATTCTATAAATTAAAAAATTATAATAAAATAGAAAAGGATCTAGGAACTAATCCGTTTGGCCATCTTTTCCCGTTTTTTTCTCCAGACCCAAAAGCTAGAGTTCAATATCCCGTTTTCAATATAATATATTAACATAATATAATAATAATTGTATTTCAACCTGGAAATTTCACGAGACGCCAATCGCCATGCCATATAATATTACGTATCTTATCGTTTACATTATCGACAACTGCAGTAGCAGATCCAGGGTTTAATTTTGAGGAGTGATGGGGGGAGGAAGTACAAAAAGTACAACAATTTGCTACAAAATTGGCTAAACCCAGTGTAAAATATAGGGAAATTGCGGCGATTGGGATGGAAAATGACACCTTTGCCCTCCCCCCCTGGATCCACCACTGACGACAAGAGTGACTGACTATAATGATTTTATCGGATTATTCATGACAAATAAGATGATCTTATTTTTCATGGGATTATTATTGATTAGATTGTATCTATACGACCCGCGGTCATACTTATTATACGCTGTGGCTGTACCTACCTACCTATACTACCAGTGGCGTTTTCAGGTAAATTCCATGGGAGGGGAGAATACATTTTAGTCTTGAATATCACATTGCTAAACAAAAACTTAACGTCTGCATGTTTAAATAATCTTTATGTTCGTTAACAAATTTTTTGTGTCCATGGTCTGTATTATCAGTGTACAAATAATTAACTCATTTTATAAAATGTTTTTATCTATTAGCAAAAACAGAACATCTCACGTCTTATGGAGGCCCCCCTTAGGGACGCCCCTGTATACTACCTTAGGTACCTACCATAGAACATGTTCTATGACATTACTACCTAAATTTATAGTGTCTGCAGGTTTTAAAACTCTGGCAAATTACAGTTATCGTTACCTATAATACGTCTATAATACGTCATTATTGTCTTCATCGTCGTCACTCGTCAATGTCGTTCGGTTTTAGTGTTAATGTGGTGATATGTAGCTTATAAATGTATTAAAAATTAATAAATGGAGGTACCTAACGAGATCAAGCAAAGTCGCAAAGATGTAAGGGCGTCCGCAGAACTTTGTCAAAGGGAGGGCAAAATATTTTCATTTTTACATTTTTTGTCTCATTACTCGCACTATCCTATTAGTTATAAAGTGTTTTTGTGACATATTTTCTTTCATAGACAAGGAATGTAAAAATATTTATGAATTATACGTAAGTGGTAAGTACCTACTTAGTTAGTTAAAACTTAATCTTACAGCAATAATTGTAATTAATTGTTATGTAATTTTAAATTATAAAATATATTAAACATAAGAAAATTATATTTATTATTTGGATAGTAATAGATGCATCATGATGACGTAATTACATTATTCAATCTCCTTGAACTAGACAGCTGCACTCTGCAGTGTAGTTGTCTCTCGGTGTGAGACGTGAGTGATGTTCCCACCGTTAGCTGTGATGAGAACCAAAAAACACCATCCGAAAAGCGAAAACGTTTAGTGCGTTTCAGCGCCTCTGACATAAAATCTTTGTTTTTTTTCCAAATAATACACGTCCGTCGAAAATCTTCGTAAAACGATTTCGGCTTCGACGCATGTGCTAACACCTAATAAGTAATAACTATTGCCTTTCGATATTTCTTGAAAACAATTTCACATACCTAATGCTCGCTTCACGTTCCTATTGGGTTTGTATTTCGTACAAATTATAATGAAATTATATTAACGGTGTGTCGGTTAGTACTTAGTCATGATTAATATACTATTAATCAATGCTTAGTATAGCCTTATTAGTTATTTAAGTTATATAATATTATTATTATGAGTTATAACCAAAATAAAAAGGTGCTCTGCTGTACAGTAGGTTACAAGTGGGCAGGTGCGGATCCAAGGGGGGGGGGGGGCTAAGGGGCTTTAGCCCCCCCCCCTTTGGACGTGTATATACTTATATATTATATATTATAATTATATTATTATATATTACACTGGTGTACACGTCTGGTCGGCACCGTAAATTTTGGTGGTGTGGAAAATTATGTGATACTGTGATTATGGTATCAGTGTTCGCGTGTAGTGTGCACTATATATAGATACATTGTTTTAGTCATGGCCTAAATGTGTGTATAGTGTATATCAAAAGTTTGTGAGCTATCTTCTGTTAGAAACATGGTTGTTATTGTAGGCGCAGTTTCAGTTTTTTTATCTACCTCAGCTAAACCCAACAATATTTTGTTAGCAGCCATTGAGAATACTGATGCTGTGTCATTGCCAAAAAAAACAAAATTAAAAGCCATGTGTACAACTCGGTGGGTTGAGCGTCATGACTCAATTATTACTTTTCGTGAACTTTTCCCATATATCGTGAATGCTCTTGATATAATTGAAGAAGATTTTGACCGTGATGTATCAACTAAAGCAGTAAGCTTCAGTTCTTCCATAAAAAGAAGCGATTTCCTTGTCAATTTAGAAATAGTTGCAAATTTGTTTTCCTACACTAAAGATTTAAGTATTAGACTACAAAGTCCAAAACAAGATTTATCTAGTGCATTCTCACATTTTAAAGAAGTAATTCAAATATTTGAAGCGAAGAGAAATAACTGTGATGAAGAATTTTCAATCTATTTTAAAAATGCATCTGAAGTAGCATCAAAAATTGGAGAAGAAATAAAAATTCCTAGGCTGTGTGGTCGGCAAACAAATAGAAATAATATTAAGACGTCAAATCCTGAAGATTGGTTCAGAATTACTATTTATATTCCCTTTATTGACCATTTTATAACAGAATTAAATTCAAGATTTAATGATAGGTTCAAAGATATTATTCCATTAGAAGGATTGATCCCTGCTAACAATAATAAGTATAAAACAGAAGAGATATTAAAAGCGGCATTAATGTATGATGAAGATATACCAGCTAATTCTCACTTGGAAATACAAGCTGAATTAGAACTCTGGAAGACGAAATGGGCCAACACAGAAAATCCAAAGCCCCAAACTGCGGTTGAAACATTGGTACATTGTAAATTTGTAAGGTATTTTACCCAAACATTAAAATATTACTACAAATTTTTGCAACAATTACAATAACATCAGCAACAGCTGAAAGATCATTTTCTTCCCTAAGAAGACTGAAAAATTACATGAGATCTTCTATGACAGAAGACAGGCTAAATGGGTTAGCAGTGCTGCATATACAATATACATAAAGAAATACCCATCGATATCGACGATGTCATAAATATATTTTCTCGACAGAAGCAAAGGCGAACGAAAACTGAAGATTGGTCAAAAGACTAATGCACTTATTATTATCTTTTTTATTATTTTAAAATATATTATAATTAATATACATACGTACTAAAATTATATATTTGTCTTTGTGTAATACAATTTATAGCCCCCCCCCCATTTCATATTTCTAGATCCACCCCTGCAAGTGGGTCACTGTATAATGGATGGTATGAAATTTGAATCCAATGATATAATATCATTGTATGAGAAAAACGATTCTGAGCGGAGAGGGTATGTCAGTCTATAGGTATAAGACATATTAATATGTCTTATCTATGGTATTAAAAAAAATTGACCTATAATAGGTACCTACATATAATAAATTTCAAATTTATCACAATATCCATATTAGGTACTTATAACGCGTTGTAAATCAACAAAAAACCGTGATACTATCATAGATATATAATAATTAATAGTCCACTTAAGAAGTTTCAAGTACCCACGAATAATATTATACAATCACAACAAAATAACTAAAATAGTTATTCTAGGTTTTTAATATGTAATTTCGTCCAAATTTGAACTTAAAATGACTATAAAAATAAACTGGGCCTATGTATTTTTAATTTTTTAACAATATATTAAATATTAATTATGACTTGTATTAAATTTTTACACTTTTTGACCCAACAGATAAAACTTTATTGATATTCATAGAAAAAAAAAAATAAAAAAAAATTGAAATATGAAATTGTCCGTAAAAAGCTCAAAATATTTTGAAAATTTCATCAACTATAAGAATTGATAAAATAAACATTCCGTAAAATTTTCATGTACCTATCTACAATTATTCGTTTTTGAATTACTACAAAATAAGAAAATCGCTACATGAGAAATCGAGTATCCAATATTGTAAAAATTTTAATTTCAAACACTCATAGAAATATAATTTGACATTCTTCTAGGCATTTTTTTTTTTTTGATAAATGTAGACGAGCTAATGAGGAATCTTGTATTACTATTTAAAATCTTAGATTTAAAAAGAAAATATTTAATAAATTTCTAACTCAAAATACTTAACAAATTTTCGTAATTTTTGAGTATTTTGTCAATATTTGAACTTTAAATGCTTACTAAAAAAAATTGTGACTATGGATTTTTAATTTTTTTCATCTGCATTTGAAACAATATACTAGGAGCCTTCTATTAAACTTTTAAGCATTTTTAACCAACAAATAAAATTTTATTGATATTTATAAAAAATATATTTTATTTCTTATTTCATCCAAATATTAACTTAAAATAGCAATAAAAAAAAAATTTATTTTTTTATTTTTTTTTATATACAATCCTTAATATACAATACAATAAGTAATATGGGGGTACAGTTTACAGGACGGGACGGAATGAAAGAAGGGAGGGTCCAATGCTCTACCAAGACCGGCGTTATACGATTTTGACGGCGAGTGAGATCAAGTATTTGCCGACTGTAAAAATGTCCACCCTTAATTTCTTAAAACAAACTATGTGAAATACCTATAAATATTCCTGGTTTTTCTATATAAGTTATAATATTATATCTGTATAATTTCTCTTAATAATTAAAATTTGATAAATATCATATTAAAAACATTATAAAAAAAATTTAAAAAAATTTAACTAACACATTTTGAACAGTTCTATGCACATAGCACATAGTAGTCTGTTATTATAATATTTGTTACTTGTATATCATACAACCGCTATCCGTACGGGTACAGGATTAAGCTCTAACAAATTAAGTCGTATTCGATGTTCTAATCTATTAATCAGTGCAGTGGCGTAGCCCCCACAACCGAAATATTAAGAAAATTTAAAATGTGTATTATTAAATTAATATATTATGATAAGGATTATAGGAACCAAAATCTAAAATAAAACTTCAGCATCTGCATGTTGCACTCTTACACTTATGGAAAAACCTAGGTAAACCACCGCCGTGTAAAACTTGATCAGGAACATAATATATTAATATGTGCTTGCCAGTGGTTGTTTTTTAAGCTACCCATTTGGGCTGGTCAAAACTTTTACCCCCTCTATTAAAAACTGAAATTACACCACTGACTGTAATAATAACAATATAGGACTACCACCCACGGTCCACAAATAGGTGCTCGAGATAGCGATTAGCAATAGCATACCGATGGACGATTTTACTAAAAAAAGTTATTAGAGGTATTATATATGTATAGCAATCGGCAGTATTTTGATTTCTAAATCTGTAAACTCTTAAATATTTTGAAGTGCGTATATAGTCGAAGTCAGTGGAAATAAGGAAAACAAGGAGTTTTATTTCTCCTTACTTGTATACTAACAGTGTTGTGGAGTCATTGATTAAATAATAAATATCCATTTATATTTTAAATTTGTTATAACATAGTAAACTATTAATAGTGTCATCCTCTAGCTGTAATTACCGATTTAGAAATTCAAAGGGGGTGTGACAACCCACCATACCCCCAGTTCCTCCGGCCCTGGACCCTACTTCAAAATTCTAAGTAGGTATGTTTTTTTCTTATTATTAAATGTTAAGTCCCTGGACCAATTTCGTTTGAGACGGCGAGGTGGGTTATTAAGAAGAGTAAGAGAGGAGAGGTTTGAAATTAGAGGATTTGAGTGATTGATAGTGTTTTTGTAGAATGATTTATAATAGTGGGTGGCAAGTGTATGAATGGTTGGGATTTTGAGGTCATAGTGGAGGAACAGATTGCTGACGTACCAGGGGGCTTTTGTAATGAGGCGATGGCAAATTGACTGAAATGATTGGAACATTTTTATATTCAGTATTTGGCCTTACCCCAAAGCTGAATACCGTAGGTCATTGATGGTCTAATAATTTGTTTATAAATTAAAAGTTTGGTGTTGAGTGGAAGATTTAATTTGAGGAGGTGTCTAATAGTTGATGGAGTTTGATGTTAAGAGATTTTCTCTTAGTTTTTATATAAGTGGCCCAAGTAAGTTTGTTGTCAAGGTGGACTTAAAGATAACGAGTTGCTTCTTTAAAAGGAAACATGTCATCATTAAGAGTCGTGGGGGGAGGCCTCGTCGTAGAGAGAAAGTTGTTTGTGCTGATTTTTTAGGATTTATTTTAATTCTCCACAGGTTGAACCAGTTTTGAAATTCATTAAGGTGTGTTTGGAGTGATTCAGATGCTCTGTTAGATCGACGTTTGTTGAAATTAGATTTCTTTATATTTTCTCTTGATAGTATAAATCTTTAGGTTTGAAAACTGAATATTTGATATAAATTTGAACTATTCAAAATAATTTGAAAATTTTCGAGATTTTGATTAATTTAATATAGTTTATTTAAACTTTGATTGCTTATTTAAAATAACTAATAAGTGCCTATGTATCTTTAATATTGGCATCTGAAACATTACAAATTAAAAATGGTCGTATATCTCAATTGAAAATTGAAATATTGAAAAATCGGCGACGCTTCATGCATTGATAATGTTCTTGTTGTGAACATTTGAATTTCAAACGCTAATAAAAATTTAATTTGACTTTCTTATAGACATTTTTTTTTTTTATAAAGGTAGGTAATCTTATAAGGAATCTTGTATTACATTTTAAAATAATTTTTACGAATTTTTAACTTAAAATAATTTGGTGATTTTCTTGATTTTTCCATATTTTGTCAATTTTTGAACTTTAAATGTTTATAAAAATAACTGTGACTAAATATTTTTCATCTGCCTTTGAAATAATATACTAGGAGCCCTCTATTAAATTTTCAAGCAATTTGAACCAACAAATAAAATTGTATTGATATTTATAGAAGAAAAAACAAAAAAATTGGAAATTGAAAATGTCCCTAAACAGCTCAAAATAAGTCAAAATATTTAAAAAAAGGCATGGTGTATAGAAAATGCTAATATAAACAGTCAGTAAAAATGTCATGTATCTACGATCATTTGTTTTAGAGTCACACAAAAAACCAAAATCGATTTTCTCGAAAATATATTGCGTAAAAATTCCCGTTTTTCCTTAATTTTTCTTTTGTTTTTCGCAGTGCGTTTGAAAACTGCTGGAAAAATGTTACTTTGACCCTCCAAAGTACCAACTAGTTTCACTTTCCTATCAGAAAATATACCGTTGAAGAAAATCTAAGCACTTTTACTGCCCTAAAAGGTGATGACAGACAAAACAAAATTAAAAAATCAAAAATTAAAAAAAAACCACACATTATTGTAAAATCAATACATTCATCGTTTCACTCAGAATCTAAAAAATAATTCTTTTGCCTACTTTAAGTCTATTTGTTGGTGTCTTATTAATAAGATAGATAACTTATTAATTAATTGTGTAAAAAGAAAACTTAGAAATATTTTCTAATTTTTCCTATTTTAGGTAATTTTTTTAAAAGTTTTTTAGATTAGTTTTATGATTTATAAAATAGGATTAATGATGTTTTTAAGCTCTTATTTTGACAAGTTCTACATGTCCCGAGTCTTGATTAAAAGTTAATTATAAACTATTAAAGTTATTGTTTAAGTCAATGGTGGTCAAATATCTTTGACTACCTACTGAGTAATAACAATGAAAACAAAAATGTTGAGGCTATACCTTACTTTACCTACATCACATTGCTAAATGCCAATTTAAGTTTTTTCACCGTACCTCTTAATGTTTTCAATTTTGTTTTAACCTATATTGTAATGAATTAATATTTACAGATGATATAGAATACATTTGTGGGCAATAAATTATTGTGGGCCATTCTAGTTAACTATATACCCACATTGATTCTCTGCAAAACTAATAAATTTGAAAGCAGGATTTATTATTTAAAAACATTATAATTCTCTGGCCTTTGCATTTACAACCTAACTTAGAGTATTTGATGAATGTAATTTAACTTTAATTAATACCTGTCAAAAGTTAAAAATTATAATACATTAAAGCAGTGGCGTAGCCAGGGGGGGCTAAGGGAACCCTCCCCCCACTGACTGTGTTAACCTTAGAATTTGATTAAGATTAATAAAAAAATATAAAGTGTAAAATAATAAAAGATATAATATTGTAATTGTATTTTACAATGGTGTTTATTTTTTTTTTATTTTATATACGAAATTTCTACCAGAAGGAGTGCTTCGATTTCAAGATATAATATCTTATTTTTTAGAAAATTGGACCAAGATGGTACTTTACAGAGGTCATTTTTTGATTTTCTCAATTGTTACTTAATGCCACTTGAAAAACAACCGATAAATTATAAAACACCGCTAAAAATGGGATTTTAATTTCTAACGCTTTGTTTATCAACATAAAAACAAATAAAAATAAAAATAACGATTTTATTTATTTGGGTGTAATTTATAATATTAATTCAACATACAGGCATATAATAAAATATAATATAAACAATATAAAATATCTAGACTGACAAACCGTCTCCGCTGAGAATCGTTTTTCGTATACAATGATAATATGATATCATTGAATTCAAATTGAATACAAACCATTATACAGTGACCCACTTGTAACCTACTGTACAGCAGAGCAACATCCATTTACCCGCTTTTGTATTTTTTTGTGATACTTAGAGCTCCCCATACAAAATTCCTGGCTAAATTAATTTTACAATTTGTGTGTTTTTTTTATTTTTGTGTCTGTCATCACCTTTTAGGACAATAAAAATCCTTAGATTTTCTTCAACAGTATTTTTTCTGATAGGAAAGTGATCATAATTGTTACTTTGAGGGATCAAAAGTAAAAATTCTTAATAGTTTTCAAAAGCATGCGTGTACAGAAAAAAAAATTAAGAAAAAACAGGATTTTGGTTTTTGCCGTTTTTGGGGTAACTAAAATAAATTACCGTTGACATTACATGAAATTTTCACTGGTTGTTTGTATTAGCATTTTCTATACACGATAACATTTGTTTTGAACTGTTTACGGACATTTTCAGTATAAAATTTGTTTAGTTTTTTTTTCTATGAATGCCAATAAAATGTTACTTGTTGGGTAAAAGAGCTTGAAAATTTAATAATAGGCTCCTAATATATTGATAGAATGATATTTGAAAAATATTAAAAATCCAGTCACAATTTTTTTTTATAAGCATTTAAAGTTGGATTTTTTACAAAATTTTACCAATTTAAAATTTAAAAATGTATAAAATGTTCAACTTTTATAGCTAAGGATTGAAAATTTAAAACAAGGTTCCATGTAAATAGATAAATAAATTACCTACTTTAATCACTATAGTATCATCAAATAATAAATAAACTTAGTAATAACTAACATATTATAATGCATTTGCTGATTGACTGTCTTCGCTCAGAATCATTTTTCGTATGCAATAATGAAATTATATCATTGAATTCAAATTTAACACCATCCATTACATTGACCAACTTGTAACCTAGTACAGCAGAACGACCCCCACTTCCAACATTTTTTTTTTAATGTTAATACAAACCAAACATTAAAACATAATTATTAATTATTTGTAACAAAACATAAATAACAACAACTTATTATATATATTATATATATTATTATTTAATAAATTATGATCGTCAGTGGTAACTGGTAAAATGGTTTAATTTCATATTCTCATTTATCTTAAATCTATTTAATATAAATAATAGGATTTTCATTTAATTTATTTAACAAATAAATCAATTAATCACTACACAAAACCTCCTGAATTAAGTCGGATAAAAATAAATAGTAAGTTATAAACATGCAAGACGCAACAAAAACACTTGAAGTATAAAATATGCCAATTTAAATTCTATATTTTAACATAGGTGTGTAAGTTTATTGCTATATTAAATTGTATTTTTACAATATTACAGTTTAACATAAATACATAATATTTAAACAATTGTTGCCAAATTGAATTTCATAGCACAGTAATATCACAAAAATAATATTTTATCAAACAATTTAACTACAATTATACAATACTGTATAATACCCTAGGTTATAACATACACATTTAAAAATGTATTATTTCTTAATATTATATTTTTAATGATCTGAAATAAATCAAAGTGACAAAATAAATATATAGGTACAATAGGTTACCTAATGTAAATTAATATAAAAGTACCATTTAAAACATAATAAGTAAATAATTTAAGGTAAGATTTTAAAAAGAATAAAATTATTGACAATTACTATAGAGAAACTATTTGCTAATCCATTTTGCTTGAAAACTTTAGTTCGGTTACACTGATTTTACCCATGTGTCTAATTACTTTATATCGAGCTAAATCTTTGCGTGTGACAATCCCAGCAACCTATAATTTGAATGATAATACACTATCCAGCTATTGATTATATAATAACAATAATTAATAGGTAAAGAGGACATAATTACTTCATTTGAATCATTCACAACAACTATATGCCGAAGTCCCATAGCTCTGAATAATTTAAAAACACGTGGCAATGACATAGTCTATGTATGAAAAAAAGTATAAATATTATATTCAAGTGTTATATTTATTTGATAAAAAATATTTAAGTATAAAGTATAAAAGCTTCATATAAGTTAGGACTTGGGGCAATATCAAAATAAAAGTTTTGTATAATTCAAAACTATGAATTTCTTAGTAGGAACTGAAAATTCAAATATTTATTATATTTATAAATCTGAGTAGAATTTGGTAACTTTATAAATATTGTAAATAATTGAAAGGATTTGTTTGAATTTGAAAAGACAACAGATTATAAATAAATGGTATACGTATAATATATATGAATACAATATACATGTACCCATAAGGCATAAAGTGTACATCTAGTATTCTAGTATATAAAAATCTCGTTTCATGGTGTTTGTGGTCACACTCCTCCAAAACAGGCAACAGCTAGACCGAAGCTACAAAGTATATATAAAAGAAATATTATGGAAAAGTTTTATACTCACATGTTGGACGATATATGGAGATGGATTCATGAATCGCGATAAATCAATTGTTAGTTTAAGGTCATTCTGCAGTAGTTCAATATCCTATAATAATAATAATAACAATTTATTAATTTAAATAAAACGGATAGAAGCCCAATTTGTTATAACAAATAATAAACTGAAAATTTGAATTGAATTTAACAGAATAATAAACAAAATAAAATGTATATAATAAAGAAATGTGCATAGAAGTATACAAAAAAGAAAACAACAGCAGGTAACTTGTAAAAATATATACCACAGTCTGTGTATATACTATTGTGATAACATAACTTAACACTCAACTTTGCATTATTTGAAATTTATTGTTATACTTATTACTTTTATCAGCGGTTCTTAACCTTTTGTAGATCACGGACCCCTGATGAAAGATTTTTAGAAAATACGGACCCCTTACTACATTTTTTTTTTTACAAAATATCTCATGTTATCATAACCAAAATTATAATAATTATTTTATATTAAAAATTTCATAAGTAGACATAACAAAACATACACATTTATAATTATTTTTATTACAATTCATTTTTTATAAAAATGTATTATAAAACTAAAATTGAGTACGATCAATCAACTACACTTTGTGGCAGTAAATATAGGACTCCCGAGACTACAGTGCTATACGCATGTACATTTCATATGAACAAGAAAAATTGATTATTTAATAAATATAAATAATACAATTATTTGGTGTAGAATCTACATATTGTACATGAAAAAAAAAAAAATAATAATCCAACAATATTGTAATAATGCACATGCACACATGTCACTTATTGACGTATGTTCAGTTTTAAGGCTGCCGCGGACCCCCGAAATGTGCATCGAGGACCCCTCAGGGGGCCGAGGACCACAGGTTAAGAACTGCTGACTTATATCATAAAAATATATGTATACAAATAGGTAATGTATATCTAGAGTACTTAATAGGTAGTTTAGACACTCCAGACAAGATGGTTAATTTGTATTACCTTCCACAAATAAAATAATTAAATTAATATGAAAATAGTTAACTCTAGGCATCACAACTGAAGAGTATGACATTCCTGGTCATACCAAAAATTTTACCTGGTACAATCCATCTGGATTGTTTTAAAATACATAGTACCTATATGGCTATATGGCTATATAATAATATGTATTGAAAGAAAATAACTTAACAACTACGTCACTTTGATTCAAAATGAATACTCATAAAGTCATAAATCATAATATAAATATATAATTATTGGCAGGCGGCAGCTACTTGCAATTTTATTTTTTGAACCCAATAACATTCAAAGTAATTCAAAACTTACTTCAATACTTGAGTACCTAGGATAGTCTTCTCTAAAAGTTTCCATTGTAACAGAGTCCCAATAATTAGTCAGGGGTCCATCAAATACTTTGTTTTCCAAAAGTACAATTAGTTGTGATCGTAATATTAAACCACGTAGATAACATTTAGTTTTGCCTTCATCCTAATTAAATACAATAATGTATTCTGAATTACAATATTTAAAAAAAATAACAAAAATAACAAAATAACCAATTGCTAACTTACTAATTCATAATTCTGTACGTATTCAATTACTGGAAAACCATTATGTGAATATCTTTTTAATATTTTTACAATGTTTCCAACTGTTTCTTTAGTTTTAAATGTAATAACTGGATGTGTCATTAAATTGTTGGCATAAATGTTAGAAGATAATGGAGGTGGATCCCAAGCTAATAATGGCATACCGCTTAACTCAATCTGTGTGTCATATATGCTCTATATAAAATAAACTAATATTTAAAACTATTATATTAAAAAAAAATCCATTTAGATTATAATGATATATAGTTATAATTTTAGTTTTATTTAATTACAGTATAATCCCATTACAACGAACTCCAAGGGACTGAATTTTTTTTCCGTTATAACAGAAATTTCGTTTTAACAGCTTTTCTGTAGGGGACTTCTATGACTTTCGTTATAACGGGATTTTTCGTTGTATCGGTATTCGTTGTAACGGGAACTTACTGTATTATGTTAGTTAAGTAAGAACCTCCAACTCCCATTTTGTCCTAACTACACAAAATTACGAGTGTATTAGTTTATATGTTTAAAATAATTAAGTTAAATTATATTAACTACTTTTAAAATAAAACTTCCTAGTTCCTACTTACTAACCCAACACCCAGCTAAAAACTATATCTTACAACTTACAAGTAGCTAACATTTAATTTATTACATATGATGATATTATAAATACATAATATATTACATTAATACATTATTTACATTATTAAATAGTATGTAGGTATGCAATTTATAAAAATAATTTTTATTATATTTTCTATTTTTAAAATGTTTAATACAAATAATTACCTATGCATTAAATTATTTATTCCTTATTTCCTATTTTAATTTATAAATCTATTTAAGTATTACCTAACTTAATAGTATAATTACTATGAAATTAGAAATTATGGAAAGGATTTTGATTGCCTACTGAGAGGGGAGGAAGTGGTGTTCCTTGCACCTTGGATTGTTTAGAACCATACATTTTTGGGTAGGGCCCCATTTTATATTTGACTTTAGGACTCCAAAAATATAGTTGTGCCACTGATATTAAGAGGACTGTATTACAAAAATGTCACTGTGAACAGCACATAAGGGATATTATAGAATATCAGTATAGAAATATACAACATAGTCGAAAGTCTAACATGGCTAACAACAGTAGGTAGGTACCTAAATATTGAAAATTGAAAATAGTTTTATTAATTCACTTACTTCAGAAAAAAAATCTCCAACCCACTTAGCTGTCATTAAACAAATCATAAGTGGTAAGCCAAATGTTATACTTCCAGTAGCTTCTACTAGTATAATTGTCAAACTAATTGTCATTCTTGTGATTCCACCTAATTGTGATGCAGCACCAATCAATGAATAAATACCTATATTCTGAAATTAAAGTAATAATTTTACATAGAATATATAGTACTATAATAAGTATAAGTTATAACATATTAATATCATACTGTATTTGGAAAAAAATGAAATACCGCTCGTCCAACAAGACGTCCCCATGCTGCTCCAGTACACAGCCCAGGTATTAATACACCGCCACTAAAATGTACTCCATATGTCCATAATGTTATGAAATAAGCACATATACAAAAATAAACTACCGTAGTTGTATTAAAAACATCTAGAAAAAACATAAAAACCATAATTAATGCCAAGAATTATACATAGTACCAAATAATATATATATAAATAATAATACCAGGAGTATCATGAAACAGTGATCGCACTGTTCCCTCTAAGAGCTGAAACCATAAAGCAGCCATAGCGTTGAATTCACCATCATTGCATCCAAACTGATATGATATAAAAAAGAGTAGAACATACTAGGTACATTTAGCCATTACATTTAATTATTCTAATCATATAAACATTAAAATTATGATTTTTATAGAATATATATCACTTTCTTGTATTTTATTATCATATTTATTTATACCTGAATAGGGTGATCTGTTGGATCAAGTCCTAATTTCTTGCAATCACTAGTAAACAGAATGAGTAAAAAACTAATAGTCACTGTAGTTGCGCACACAATTAAAACTTCCAAAACTTTTTTCCAGTCCTTATTAACATATCTGTAAAAAATTATAACTAATCATTTTCACTTTTTTCATTTGTATTTTCAAATAAAAGGAGAATAAAGTAAACTAAATCACTTAGTATATTGTTATGTGTTTTATAATCTATAGACTGTAACCATAAAACCATTGTTATCTGTATCAATAAATTGTACCTGCAACTTGCTTTAATTTTAATCTTCTATTGTCTATTCACAATTGTAATCGAAAAGAAAAGATTTACCTTTTTCTGAATATAAATAATTTGAGATTTAAATGGCAAAACAGTGCTCCCGTCAAGCCACCAACTATACCCATCAGTACAAAAACAGGAATGTCGAGTATATGATATGATAGATCATCAAATTTTCCAAAATTTAACAAACCTTTATATGTAAGGTCACCTACAATAAAAAATATTATTTATTTTACAAATTATACAAATTTTCTAAATATTATTATAGAAGGAGAACAATATTGATGACTAGACCTGGATGTCCATGATAAGCGCTTAAAACAGAGTGTAATGTGAACATTGAAACCATAGATCCAAAAAATGTTCGCCATGTAAGTGCTTGATTCCAGAAACTAGCACCCTCTTCTAAACTGAATAGCAGGCCACCTATAGCCAAATGTGTATGTATGGTTTTGACAAAATTAATTAATATTGGAACACAAGAATATTTTGCAAAATCACATACCAACTGGAGCACCAAAAGCGGCAGCTATTCCTGCTGCAGCACCTCCAGATACAAAGTCTCTTTTTTCATGATCTTCTCTGAAAAAATTCAATGCACCCAAATCTTTATTGAATGTTGTACTTTTTCCTTGTGAAACTCCAGCGGCAACTATAGATCCTGCATGAATCATAGGACCTTCCTAAAGAAATGAATTCATGCTTATAAAATAACATAATATTATCTATAAATATATTTACATATTAGATAACTATAATATGCCTATTCACATTAAATACCTAAATATATAGGCGTAGAATAAAGAGGGTCTAGACTCTAGGCCCTAGGGGGGGCTATAACCTCCGTGGAATTTTGTTTAGCCCCATCCCGTACATTTTTTTTCAGTAGGTAATATTTGTAGATTATAATACTCTGTGTACCAGAAACACATACTTAAATAAGTTAAATAATAACCATAATAGGTTATATACTTATATCTCTCATATATTATAAATTCATCATGTTAAGCCTATGCCTAATTATAATAATAATATTTATTTTGTTACATATTATATAATACACTTTCATTTTATTTGATGAAATATTATATTAAAATAATGTTTTATATGAAATGACTATTAAACTTACTTTACCACCCCACATACCACCAAGTGCCACACACGTAACACCGATCACTTTGACAACCAATGTTTTCAGTCTAATCAATCTTGGTACTTTGATTCCATTTAAAAAACATTTCACAGCCGGGATACCAGAACCTTTAGCCATAGGCTAATACATTATTGCAAAATATATTAAACATTATAATTATTATTACAGTCCAAAAGGTACCTAGTGCATTATATTAAATAGTATAGTGTGATAATGTGATTTAAACAATATACTCACCTCAACATAAACTATAAGACATGATCCAACTAATGAAGGAATTAAGTTCAGTAAAAGGGCCACAAAATATGGTTTAACCATACAATCCGCTTCGGTACAACCATCAAAGTCTAAGTAGTTTATATTAAAGACATTTTGTCTATTATTTTTTATTGTGGATTTGTAAATAGGTATATAATATTATTATAGATACCTAATTTAAAATTGCGTTGATAATATTGTTAAAAACCACAAATCTAGTTGAGATTTACAAAAATGACTAATTAGTATGTTAGGTGACATAAGTTTTTTGTAGTCTTTACAAGTTACATTTCTCCAGGAATATTGTGAGGTGAAATGTTATTTGACCATAAGTGAATGAAACCAGTAAGTATACCATAAAACTGTCATACTAATGTGTACCATGCATAAAAAAATATATTATTGGTAAATAATACAAAAAAAGAAAAACCAACAACAATAGATAAAATTAGGTAAGTGCCTAAGTTATAAGGTAAAATAAAGTAATAAATATGAATTATGATTATAGTTTCTAACTTTCACTTTACATTTTCTGAACATATTACATATGAAAAAACAGTTTAAAATATCAAAAACAAACATTATATTCACTAAATTACCCCTTATGGGATAAAGACAAATAGCAAATAGGTGAAGATGGATTTTCTATAGGCACTCAATTGTGATGTACATTAATTATGTTACATTTTTGTGAAATCATGGCCTAAATCGTCAAATGTGCTTAAAAATGTTTTCATACAAGTATACAACCAATGAGCTTAACCCTTGACAGCTCGATATTAATCATCTATAAAATACTAGGTTAATAAATAAGTAATAGGTAACGAATAACGTGATATGCGAACCCCCGTGATAAACGAACATTTATCTACTGATTTTTCATTTCTTCGTACAATCCAGAATCTAGATGTCAATTATAGTTTTAAAACACGTCTTGTCACAAAGAGACTTATAAAATCTAACGTACCATATGCGAAAATAGGGTCCATGATATCCTCCCAAACATTTACTAAAATTTTTAAGCTTATTCAATTTTATAATAGTAATGATTTTAGACTTCAGCTTCCCAAATCTCAAAATTAGCTCCTATTGTAACCTAAACAACATAATATTTTTAAAGATATTTTTCAATGTTATCCAAATATGATTTTTCTTGACAATTGAATGTAAGTACCTACATTTAAGTTAAAAAAATTCAATATATTATACACAAATATAATCGCTAAAATGTACACTTTTCCTACGATATGCAAAAATATGAAATTCAAACATCGTTTGATAAGACAAAAAAATTTAACATTAACCTATTCACGTACAAATGCAAGGATTTATCAACATATTGGAATGTCAATGTGTTTATCGCACTAGTAAGTTATAGGTACAAATGTTTTCAACATAATGGATTTATTAGATATGTATCATTATCTAGTATGTATGTTCTTATATGATTCATTAATAATAATTTTGTCATTTGTTATTTAATTAAAATAATAGACTGCATTCGACATTTTTAAAGCACATCATCATAGGTATATAAGTATGGGTATTGTTCTATCTGGCTAATGTTCATAGTTACTAATAGCAAATTTAACTTATTTAAAAGGATACATTTTTTGATCATGTTGAACTTAAAAGTAGTCCCAATTTCAATGGAAATAAAAATTATTATTCCAATAAAGGCAATTGTTACCCCAATCCAAAAAAATGTCATCCACCTAGAAAAATCTTTTTGTACAACATATCTATAACCTTTTTTTTGTTCTTCTTCGCGGTACAATTCATTTTCAATGACTTCATAATCTAAGCTCTATATAATCAAAAAATTAAAAATATATCACAATTAGGTAGGTCATAGGTACCGTGTAGTATGAAGATATACCTATGTGGTTATTGTATTATATTAAATTGTTTAGAAATTCTCTTTAAAGGGCTGACTGATAAGCTCCCCCATAGTATTTTGAACTAAAATGAAATTTAAATACTATGGTATGGGATATATTTCATAATAATTGGTTACTTTTTTAAAGTAGGTAGGTATTTAAAATGCTACGTAAAAAATTCCTCGACAATATTTTTTTCTGTTATAAAATTATATTTCTGTAAATTTTTAGGGGCATGGTAAAATGTGAGTATATATTTCATTATAATGTATTATAATATGTTCATGGAGATCATGGACATTTTATTTGTCGTGAAAGTATAATAAAATCAAAACTATTTGTGTGTATCACTATAGGTAAATTGTATTAATCTAACAAAAATATTATACCTTTATACAAATTCAACAACTATAGTACTATAGACATTAAGAGGACGTGATACCCGCATTTGTTGTCTCCGTCTTACAAGTGCATAACATAGCAAATTATATGCAAAGCAGAACAAGTGTAGGTCTGTTAGCAGAAAATAAGAGTAAATTGACCTCTTATAAAATCTAAAGGTAAGATTATTATCTAGACAACCTCATGAGCTTTTTATTATATTTTAATTGTTAAGCGAGTTATGAATACTTTAAAATGTACAAACAATTTACAATTTTAAAATACTCATAGCTCGCTTTAAAATTAAAAACAATTTTATATTTTTATATTTTATTTAAAAAAAAATATGTCATTTAAAATAATAAATAATATAATATTATTAATCAATAATTAACTTTAAAAAAAAATGGGGGGGGGAAATGTCCGCATCAAAATTATATCAGGTGGGAAATGTCCATTTACCATTTTTGTTTATCACCATAGAACCGAATAAAAATAAAAATAAAAATTTTAGTTATTTTGTGGTAATTTATAATATTAATTCAATTTACAGGCTATACTAAAATATAATAAGGATATAAAATATCCAGACTGACGAACCGTCTCCTCTAAGAATTGTTTTTCGTATACAATGATATATCATTGAATTCAAATTTAAAATAATCCATTATACAGTGACCCACTTGTAACCTACTGTACAGCAAAGCGACATCCACTTACCCGCTTTTTTTTTATTTTTATAGATATTTTTGGTTCAAGTTTGGACGAAATTAGATATTTAAACGAAGGATAATGATTTTAATTATTATGTTGCAATTTAAAAAATTTTTTTGTTCCTCTACAAGTTTAAAGTATATCATTTTATTTTATGCTCACAATGAAATTATCAAATCTAATATTTTTGCAAAAATGTATTCTGCCTACTGTATTACTATAATAGTTCTAACATAAATTAATTTTATGGCGATATAAACATATCATAAAATAGGTAATATAGTCTGAGCTCTGACAGACCGTCTTCACTCGGAATTATTTTTCATGCTTAATGATTTATCATTGAATTCAAATAAAAATCTTTAATGGAGATTAAGATGGTGTAAATCAATGGGAATTTGTCATGGGAAGTATTGATTATCACTAGCTACACCGGTATTAAATGACAATTAGAACAAAAATGTTGAAGTATATTGTTGGTATTTTATAACGGGCTTCGAAGTGCACAAATGTAGGGATCAGCTACTATATTATATATTACATAAAAAAATAGATTCTTAAAATTTAAATATTCACACTACATCCTGAACTAATGTTTACCTACTAGTTTTCCAATTAATTAAGATACAGTATATTAAGTTCATCAGCTATATAAAATAATAATAAATATAATAATATAGAATATGATGTAATAATGATTTTAATAATTTATAAATTATAGGAATATATTATGTTTATTAGTATATAGGAACATACGTTAAAATATTTTTTGAAAATAAAATAAGTAGATACCTCATATTTTGTTGATAGATGATTTAAGGATCCAATGGGTACAATTTCTTCACTTTCATTCGATAAATCATACCCTTTAAAATCCATTGACTGATACATTATATATTATGTATGAAAACATTTATTCTATAAAGAAGTATTAACACTAATTCATTAGTATAGGTAAGTAGTTAATGAATGTTAAAATAACTAATATGAAGTAAATATGTAGGTACACGAATATTCAATTGCACTTGAGAAATACCTATATTAAATAATATAATAATAAATATATATAGACTAGTAAACAACAATTGTACAGGGTGTTAAAATAGTTGTTGGTGGGGGGACTAAATAATAGTGGTTATAAAGTTTTTTATTATCCACCACTTGAACAACACTTAATACTGTAAGACACTCTGTACTCTGTTTAATATGACTCCTTGTTTTAAGTGATAAAATATTTTTGAATAATTAAGATAATAATAATTAAGTAGTTTAGGTAAATTTGATTCTTTTAAAGACAGAAAAAAATCAAATTTACAAATGTATTCTAAGAAATTGTACCATTAATTATAATTCAGAAACAATGAAAATAAAATGGTAATTTTAAAGCTATTTCAATTGCATTCATTAATTTTACTTAAAAATAAGTAGTGTATTATATGCATTTCTTTTGATGCTACATTTATCAATATTAAATAAGCAAAATGAATACAATAATCCACTAAATTAATAAATAATAAATGTAAAAAAATGAGTTTATTATCATTATTAAGCTTTTGAAACAGATATTATCATTTTCTTTTATAGAATAAAAGATGATGTACAAATAATTTTTTATACAATTAACTATATACTATAATATTTATATTATAATTTATAACCAAAATATAAAATAGTTATATTATAATTTATAACCAAAATATAGCTCTTAACTGTGGTTCCATAAAATATTCTCGTATTTATCATAAATTTGGATTTGTTAATCTTTATTGTTTATTTAATAGTACCTAATAAACAAATTAATAAATTCAATATTACAAGGTTAAAATTAAGTGCCAACTTAAATTGTTTTTACTATCAAAGTAAATGAAAAGTTATATAATTGAATAATATTAATACCTTTTAATAAATTTACTAAAATATAACTTTGTCGTGATACTTAATTGAATAAAAATATAATAATATATTATGTATACTATATAAATACACATAATTCACGTTATGTATAATATATCTAAAAATAAATAATGCAAATGAAAATTATAATACTATAATAATAAGATGACAGTATATATCCAAATGAAAAAAATAAATTTCTCTTGCATATTTAGGATGTTGGTTATTCTCAAACAATATATTATGGAAACATAATTTTTTTAATGGATAAAAATAATATGAGAACTTTTGAAGAGTTCTATAACGGTTTGACCAAAAAAGTGTTGAACTATAAATCAAAATTATAATTTGGGTCAAAATTATAGCTGTTTGCCTGTGAGTTTATTCTTTTATTCAGCTTGTCTGAGACGAGCTAAACGTTGTGTAAGCTCATCTTGTTCTGTTGTAGTAGAAGATAGAGAACTGATACTTTGAGGATTGGTAGGAAGTTCTAATTTTAGTTCCAATCTAAAAAGAAATCAATGTGATGTAAAATATTTAAACACACTCACACACACAAATATATATATATATATTAATGTTTGAGATAAATAAGAATTGTTTACCCAGCTTCATCAGCAACTTGCTGCAACAAATTTTCAACATCCCCTTGAGGCACAGCAGTAGTAGTACTTTGAGACATAGTATTATCCATGTAAGAACTTTGTACATCTAAATCTTCAAATTGATTTTCAAATTTGTCCATCAATGAAGAAATTTTTTCAAGATTCATAGACTTCATTGCTGCATCCATTGCTTTTACAACACCCCCCATACTTTGAGTCACCTAAATATTTAAATATTGATTAAAGGTCAATAAATTAAAAATTTGAAGTATACTATTTTATTTCATTTTTTGTTATTGGTCTAGAGTCCGGCATCTATGACCATTGGCTTTTAGTAAGTTTATCCCTTTACATCTCAATTTAATTTCACTACTATACTATTGTCTTGTTTAAAGGATTAGGCGGAATGTCATAGGCGCAACTAGTGTTCTGGGGGGCTACAGCTTAACAAACTATTTATTTGAAATAACCCATAGGGATATTATTTTTTTTTTCTAGAGGGAGGGCTAAGTGCCAATAGACCCTATATTAATGTAAGATTTTTTTTTAATGTGATAGAAACATTAACTACTTAATATGTAGGCTTGATTAAACAACGTATTTGATTCTTATTTGTAAATCAACAATTTACAAATAAGTATTGGTAAGATATGCTATTAATTGAAGTAAACATTTATAAAATGTTGTCAAACATAATTTTAATTCAATATATTACAACTTTTACAGTTCTAGAATTAAAGTTAAAGTATTAGTACTTATGATACTCATGAATGTATCATGACATTGTATATTATTAGTCATTACAAACTGAGATGCAAACTATTTTATCTTTATTGGCCAAATAAATTGTATTAAATATGATTATAGGCCATTACATATTATATTTTAAAACACTTCAAAGTACCAAATGAATTAAAGACATCAATAAATGAAACAAAATAATATGCAAGGATTAATAACATTGAACGAGACATTGACCTTTTTTTGGTTATAAACACAAATGAAATCATTGGAATATGTAAAATATTTCTAAAAATAATGTATTTGTTTTTAAACATAATAGTGTTAAGATATTTAGAATGAATCCAAATTACCCAATTATATACTACTTCTATACAACTTATTTACAATATAAAAAGGTTTAAAATAAAAAATACAATTATACCCTAGTGCCATTTGTTCAGGGGAGATGGCGTTCTGGGTACCCACCTCATCAAGGAGGTGCCCACATGTAAGGTTTGGGGAGAGAATGCCGGCGCTAGAACCGTGTCTTGAATAATTGTAAAATTGTATTTTTTATTTTAAACATTTTTATATTATAAATAGGTTGTACAATCAGTGGCGTGTAACAAAGGGTCCAAGTGTTGCTCGGGCAACACCTTAAATATGGGTGGGCAGGTATTGATGGATGAAAAAATACGTAATTTTATAGGTCGGTATGACAGTACTACGAGGGGTAGGTCTCCTAAAATTATCAGAGCAAGACCAATTTTTTTTATGGTACACGCCACTGTATACAATAGTAGTATAATTGGTTTAACAGTAATCACTCTAAATATAAGCTTAACGCTATCATGTTTGAAAACCAATAATTAATTTTTAAAAATATTTTACATAATCTATTGATTTGATTTTCACAGTTTTTAATACTTTTTATAACCAAAAAAGATTAATATTTTTAAAAATATCCTTTGTTTAATAATTGTATTTATTATTCTATATTAAGAGCTTGATACAACATATTACACAATATTTAATTTTAACAAATCACAATAACAAAAAGAGTACCTAAATAACCCCTTGGAGTGTATTTAAGATATATGTCATATGTGTTATAAATACATATATTTTAAGCTTACCTTTCTAGTGGTAAGAGCTCCTTGAACTCTTGAAGCAACTGCATCAACTCTAGCGCTCATGCGTAAATAATTCAGTGATTGACTTTTTTGTCTTATAGCATTTTCAGCATGTATGCGAGCAACCTAAAAATTATTAGTATACATTATCGTTTATTTTAAGTACTTATTATTATTTAACATTTAATAATTAATAAATTTGGTTTAATATTGATTTTGATTAATCACAATTTAGACATTAATTGCAAAAATGAGAGTAGGAAAAAATAGTAATGTGAATTGGGTACAATGGTACAATTAACCACAAGAAATCAAAAATGTATAAAATATAAATTAAAACATCCGTCTGGAATAAAGTTAATAATTATAGAAGTAGGGATACTCCCAGCTTACTAAAAATAGTAAATACCATTGCTCATTTGAATAGACAAGTGTTATCCATTGACTAAACAAAATTTAAAATGTCTGTTCCTTATTTAAAGTACCTATTTCATGAATTAAAAATTTAAAAATGATTATTTAAACATTTTTTATTACCTATATATTTTTCCTAGAATCATATAGGCAGAGCCTTCTATTTGGAGTGATAAGCAGGTTAATGAGTTATTTCTAACTACAAAAAAATATATTTCAAACATATCAAGCTTCAAGAATGACAATCCAATATATAATTTATATTTATACACTTTATTTAATCTTGGGTATTAAATGATAACCTAATAATCGGTTATTTGTTTATCATTTCGGCTAGTTAGGTACATAATATTACTATAAGCGATTTAAAAATATATAATATAGGTAGGTATATTAAGTATAAATTATTTACCTCCATATTACCCTTTTGTATAGCTTTCTTTGTTTTTAATTTTTCGGCCTTTTCTTCTTTTTCACATTTCTTGGAGTTTCTTTCTAATTCTTTGACTGCAAACTTCAAGTTAAATAAATGATCTGCACAACTTCATAAGGAAAATCATACTTTATAAAATAAACTTTAATCAAACAAACCCTAAGACAAGAGTAATCCTGATATTATATAGGATAGGCAAGGTACTAACCCATAGTTTTAGGATTTCTAACAAAAAAGTACCAGACAGACACGCAATGGTCGCAATTAGACTTATACCGGTGGGCGGTGATGCCTGATGACAAGATAATTGAATATGGCTATCGCCTTACATTTTTTGACATACAAACGACGGTACCTACCTACTTTGTATCCAATACACTGTAAGACTGATAACTAGACACTCAATCACGGTTTTGTACATACCGAAAAGCATGGACCGACGCTGAGGTATATGAAGCCCATATAGGTATTCATTTACAATGACCATAATGGATAGCTAGATGCTCAAACTTGACTTTCAAAATTCCAGCATTTGAAACTAGACCGCCAAAGTGCCTAGTCTTATCTTGTTCTGACAGACCATAAACGTTAGACATAAACAGGCATTTCTTATATTATAGTTATAGAGATCAGCACTCAACGCCAGTGACTCTTTAGGATAGGCCAGCTAGTTATAATATAAATTACATACTAAAATTTCGTCATAAAAGGATACTTTCCATAGCTGCCATTTCAAACGCCAAAATAACAAATTATTAATAACAATATCGAGCTGAGCAGAATAAAAAGAAAATATTTGACACTTGTAGATTAGTGAAAACTAATAAGTAATAAAGAATAATATATTAATATTATGAAAGGAGTTAGAGTATAGACAATAGACAATAAACAGTATCACAGTGAAAATAACACAAAATTACAAAAATTAATTCATCCTGATAATGTTTGATAACTATATGACATTCATCCTGATAACGTTTGATAACTATATGACATCATCCCAAATTATCATAATAGTGAGTCACCGGATTTATTTTGTATTTTTTTGCATGCTTTTTTTATGAATTATGAACCATGATTCATTTCATCCACGGACTTCATACTATCTTAGACCGTGATTTCATAGTATTTATAAAAATTAAAAAAAAATTAGATTTAAAGGAGAAATGGAGAAATGGTTTTTAATTTTTATCTTTTATCTGTGTTTTCAAACTTCGAATAATAAACTTTCTAATACCAGGGTTAGGGATACTATTCTGTTCCAAATATTAATTAAATGCCGAGTACATTCCTGCCTCTTGGACATGATCTTTTGAATGCAAACAGTTGTGTTTTGTACATTTTTCTTATGAGTAGGGCGTTCCTGTGTACATTTCAAAAAACCACAACGTTTGCAAAGTTGAAAGTCAACCATCATAAGAAATAAGAATCAAGGTGGAATATGGATTAATTAATCTTGAATAAGATAAGGAATTAAGGAAACGTTATCAATTATTATTTGAATCTTGAATGATCCGTTTTTAAATCAACATCAAATATTCGAATCATGTAATATAAATTAAATTTATTATGTGATCAAAATTCAAAGCATTCACACGACACATTGCGAATTGAATAATAAAAATCCCCGACCCAATAAAAAATTCCGGAGTACAATATTACCTTCAAATAATAAATGAATAATTTTTCAATTGGATTAATATTGTTAAGACGTAGATATAATTCTGTAAAATAATGAAATTGAGTTTTGTTATTTTTTACAAGACTGTAATAAATACAATTACTATTGGAGTATTTTAAAATTTTACCAGATACATTTCCCAAAAATTTTAATATGAAAAATAAAATAAAATGAATACCTACCTACTTTAGATTTATTTATTTCAGCATAATGCAATAACATAAAACATTATAATATAATTATTATATTTCTACTAGTTACTACTTATATGTTGGTAATCGGAAAAAAAATCCACAGGAAAAAAAATCTCCGGAAAAAAAATCCCCAAAGCTATACCTAACTGTACTATTAAATAAAATCCAAAATCCACAAAGCAAATACTTATATGTAAATATAATTGTACATCATAAAATAATAAATATACTCATAACTCGCTTTAAAATTAAAATATAGTATAAAACCCTATGATATTGCCTAGATAATAATCTTAACTTTAAATTTTATAAGAAGTCAATTCACTCCAGTGACTATTAAATATTTAAATGATACTCTAATTTTACAGTGAAATCTAAATAAATTTGTTACTTATAATTTATATAATAGTTGTCGAAATTAACTCCCACTATAGATATTAATAATTTCGGTGTTACACTGTTACCTATTACATTTCGTATAGATAATGTTATTAGTTATGTCTATTGTCTTTTATTATAAAATTGATAATTATAATATATAATTACATATTTACATATTAATACTTAAATTAAAAAATCATTTAAGATGTTAGGATTCATAAACAGGAATAAGATTAATTTTAAAAATATTAACTCATTTATTATATAATATTATTTATCAAATTGAGATTCAACTTAGTGTAGGTACTTTTAATTTTTATTAGTAAAGGGTTATAAATAATATTGTTTATAAATAAATAAAAAATATTTATTTAGCAGTATCATATAATATACCTATTTAGTATTTATGAATATTATAATAATATAATAATTATCATTCAAATTGAATATATTTTTATTATTATTAATTATTATTTTTGACAGCTGTTGTACCCAACAGTACGATTAGGTATAGCTTTGGGGATTTTTTTTCCTAGATTCTTATACCTTATAGGTACCTATAATATATACAATAAGACCTGATACGTAGTCGCATACCAACTTAGCTTAGCTCATAGATATCTGGTATACCTACGGAAAATATTACCAAATTACAAATACTGTATAATATGTCATAATATAGAGTATTTGATATTAGGTACTCTAGTCTTTAATAGTTACTACCTATCAATCGTAGAAAAACATGAATATTATATAAAATAATTTTAGTTGTCATTAGTTAAACAAATAATTTCAAAAAAAAAAACTTGAATAGGTAGTAATTGATGAATATGTACAATTAATTATTACACCGTCTTCTTATTAGATTATATATTACCTACCGAATATTACTTATTAGTTATCGGGTATGTTATCGAAGGTACACATAAACCTATAGTCTATGAGTAGTAAGTACGTCAATAACATTCAGCAAGTTCTCAGTTTTACTTTTATTGTCAAAGTATAAGAAAAAGGGAGTAATAAATAATTTATTAACTATTATTTATTTATTTCATAATTCAAACCAATTATAATGTTATGTAATTGTAATATGCATCGGCGTAACTAGGAGATGTCTAGAGGGGCCCCACCACCACACGTTTTTACTTTTTGCACCTTCTGGTTAAAATCCAAATCATTGCACCAAAAGAAACTACCATGGGTTCAATGGATAAAGTATTTAACAATTATAATAATACACATCAGAGTGATTGCTAAATTCCAACTATTTTAACCTTAAATCAGTTAAATCCCTACTTAATACTTTATATCTTATATATGTTATATTAAAGTGAAAACTAAAAGTTAATTATTAATACTATAGTGATAGGTGGTACTATATGTCGCATTGGCCAAAAAGAATCAATCATAATTTTTGATTTAACTCACAAGTACAAAAATGTTCACCATCCCTGCGCGCAATAAGTTATGCATATATAGCCATATAGCCATATAGGGCATTATTATATTAGGGTATATTATGGAAGCATAGACCTAATACGTAGTCTAGGTTAAGTACAACAAATATCGATTTACTATATTGAAAATTATTTCACGAGATAAAATAAAATTTTGTTCAAACATAAGTATATAACCATTAATTGATAATGTATTAAATATATTTTGATCACACATTATACGTCATATTATTTAACGATTTAAAAAAATCCAAATAATAAAAGTTTAAGAATAATATATAATTATTAATACATAATAATTAATAAATAATAATAATAATATGATAATACTATAATATAATAAAATATTACCTATAAATTATAATAAATGCAATTTCATCCATCACACCACATGTAGGTATAATATTATTAAACAATAATTATGATAAATTAATAATATGTCATCAATACAATACAAAATCCATAATAGATATTAGGTATAAGGTACAATTTTATAAACCATAACTATACTACCTATAAAATATTAATATTAATAATTAGGTAACTATATTTAATATTATATTTTACTTGAGCTGAAAAACGATTAAAAATGAAAATATTTTTTTTTTAAAACAATAGGTATATAGGAAATCTATACCTCGCACCGAGTTTACCTACATGATATGATATATATAATACTTATTAAAGTCCCAAGATAATTGATTTAGTAGACAAAAGCTTCTACGCTGGCGACCGCAATATTGACGTGCGCCCACCGAGGAAACGAGTCGACGAAAGATCGGAATTCGTCGCCCAACACCAAGTCCTTGTGTATCACCCAACTGTACGCCAAGGTGACGTTGATGGACATTTCACCGAAGCCACGGTCGCATTCGTGTTCCAACCAAAAGCTCCACACATTCTGCGGGCCACCAGCCGCGAGACCCGCCCCCGATGAGTGCTTTATCACGTACACGTCGTTCCCCATCCAATTGGTGGCCACTTCCGGTTCTCCCGCGAAACTCCACGACTTCAACCGCGTACCAGGATAAGGGCTGACGTACACGTTCACCCTCTCTGGTCCAGTTACGTTGAACACGATCCGTCGCCGTCTCTCGTCGTCCTTGAGTACGACCACTTGGGTCGTGGCCTTGGACCGCTGTGACGCTGGCGCCGGTCGACCCGGCAGCCAACTGGTGTGATACGCCAGCGACCCGGTCACCGGTGAGCCGCACATCAGTTCGCTGGTGCAATCGATGAGGGCCGCGTTAGGCGCGAGGTCGGCGACCGTTCGCGGACCCTGCCGGTCCCAGTTGACGATCAGGTAACCGGAGTCGTTGTACCGGATGCCACCGCCGAAATCGTGGAACATGCGTTGCGTGTGTATCAGGTCGAGCCGCTGCTCGGTCTTGGCACTTGAGTACGGGAACCCGACCGGCCGAACGGCGACGATAGCCACGGCCGTCAGCAGTACCGCGGCGCCCAGGCCGGCCAAGGCGGGGCGCGGCCTGTTCACCAGCGCGATGGCCGGTGCCAGGTGGCCGACAGTGGCGAACGCAGACATGGCCATCAGCGTGCCGACCACGTAGTCGGGGTTGACGTTGGGGCCGAGGCGTCCAGAGATCGGCACAAACAGTGACGCGAACATTTGCGTCAGGTACAGGACGAACGCGACGGGCACGAACAGCGACGCCACGTATCCCGCTATCCAGAAAGCTGGCGTCCTGCCGGCGTTCATAATGCCTAACGTGCAGCTGGCGGCCGACGGCCACAGCACAATGACCGCGAACAGGTAGCTGGAACGCAGACCCGCCATGGTGGTGACGAACAACAGCGCCGTCCAGAACAGCTGAACGCCGTTGAGCATCGTTACGGTCCATTCCGCATCGGTCCTGGACCGGATTTTTGGGTAGTAAGCCGCCACGGTCAATATGGACCATGTCGCGGAGCCGAAATACACCAGCAGGTTGGTCTGGTTGCTGTACCAGCTCATCGAATACCCGAGCCGATCCAGCGCAAACGCTACCAGCAGACATGTC